TCATCCCTAATAAGTCACATTGTCACAACCTACCACTGTATATTGTACATTGTATGATAAAGGAATTCCTTTTATCATTGTTCATCCCCTTGTACACAATACCTCTTACACCAGACTATATTTGATTAGACTTGTGGGTTATGCCTCTCGATTTGTTTACTGTGCTGTGACCAGTATTGTGCCTGTGACTGGACGCATGATGGACTTGTGACGGACTTGATCTACATGGTTGACTATATACTACCACAGCATAATCATGGTAATCATACGGTACAGTGCAGTTTGCATGATTAATGATTTTTGAATGGATACTGTTATATGTGCCACTCGGAGGACCATTTTGTCATTAAATTTTGTGTAACGTGTGTATTTAAATTGAAGTGAAGTTCCTTTGGGAATTTGTTGTAATTGATGAAGGTACTGGTACATGTACATGTACAATGTTATCAATCAATACATGTATTTGCCTGCTGTTATCGAGCTTGAAGCATAATGGTACATGTAGGCTGTAGCCTGTTGCCTCTTGGAAATGAACAAGTTAATCAATTTATGTTAATTAGTTAAATAATCAGCCTGTCAATTACAACAAATGTACATAGGAAATTTCAACCCTGATGATGTTGAGAGAAAACTCCAAAGCTAGTTCCGGTAGCTCACAAAGAGCTCCCATCACACTACCATTGTTTTATTTATTTTTGTCAGATACCAAAATGTGTATCATATTTAAGTTATTTACATTGTAAAACAAAGCTTTGTTACTGTTCTTCATTTTGAAAATCATCTGTGAGTTTCTGAGGGAATCGGAAAAAGCAAACATTTTTAGGTACACGTATGCATGTAACTATTGTAAGCGCTTGGTATCACATTACAATGTAAAGCTCACAGCGAGCCTAACCATTTGATTTTTACATAGAATTATCATGTTAAGAGCAAATGTGAATAGTTTGTATGATAAGTGTATTTTTACATTGTTTAATGTACCGTAATTTTCGGAATATAAGCCGCGGCTTATACGTTGAATTTGCCCATGAAAATGTTTACTGCGGCTTATACACAGGGCGGCTTATACGCCGAGCCGTGAAGAATAAAAATGATATTCAAATGTATATTTAATGTACTGGTATAAGGAAAGATCTGTTGCTAAAATGAATCATCAATAAAGAAAGTCATAAACAAACCGAAAGCACGTCCAACGAAAAGGTACCGAGCGGTAAAAAGTACGGCTAGCGAAAGCTGTCTCTTTGACATCGACATCGACAACCGGCCGTACATGATCCTAGTGCGTGCAGTGTTGCATGCATGCTGCATGCCTTTCCCATGGACCACACCATTTGTTGTAATAAAGGGGTGTACTTTCTTGGGAACAATAATTACCAATATTTCTGCTGTTTAAAAACAGAAAAAAAGATAACTAATACTTTTTATGGAGTTCCAAATATTTCTCTTTTCAATAATCAGTTGTTCAATGTCACAATATAATTTTTTTTCTTGAAATGTATTCAAGAAACGATGTAAAACTCAAAGCAGGGGCTACAAATCACCCCTTACGAAATGAATGGATTCGTCCATAAAATTTTCAGCATCGTGTTGACTATTTTCGAAGAGAGTTACGATTGCAACTTGAATTTTGACGTTAGTAATCACAACAATTTGATAAGTTTTGTTGTAAAAACGGACCTGTTTATTCTTAGGACAAAACAAATCAGCATCTGTTGCCACAAAGCAGCATTTGTAGCCTCCAGTCAGACGACACACGGTGGGTTACATATCTCAAGTGCTCTCATTTGTCGGCGCTAGCTGCTGGGCCATGCGCTAACGTTTTAGGCCGGGGACCGGACGGGGCAGCCGGCAGTAATTCCCGGTGTTTATTTCTCATCATCAATTTCCATATATGTTTGTGTTATTGTAAGAGTATCAACTGTGAATGATTTGATATAACCTTTGTGGCCCTTTTTATAGCTTTCGTAGTGTAAATGGAACTGGTTCAGAGCATTTTGACTAGAGTTTGGAGGCCCTACAAAATTGAAACCACTGCGGTCGGTGCGGCTTATACGCCGGTGCGGCTTATACGCCGACTTCAAATCTTAATTTGCAGATTTTTGCGTACTGCGGCTTATACGCCGCGCGGCTTATATTCCGAAAATTACGGTACATACATGTACATGTACATGTACATAATTTGCCTGGAAAGTGTTACCATTTTTGGTGAGCACAACCCTCAACAATGGGATTGTACAAGGAGAAAATAGGACAAACAACTTGATATTATTTCCCAATCCCACAGTTTCCCCTGTAGTGTGAAATGACCCATTTACCAGTACAAAGTACGCACATTCACTTATACATGCACTGAATACACCCACACCTACATTAGCGATAATCATTGGGGAAATCCACGAGATGAATTGCTGCACACATGGCAAGATCTGAAAGCCTCATTCAATTATGAGCCTCTTTTGGGACTTTGACCGAAACCACTAGACGTGGAAAGAAGTGGAATATAAACTAGAGTACTGACCTACTGTAAATGTTATTCAAAGTTATTAAATTACTCTATTATAGTGCATGCATGTTTTGGGTTTTTTTTTTTTTTTTTTTTTTTTCATTCTTGTTTTTTTTTTGGCACATTTTTGCAAGCGAAAATGAGGCTACGTTATGGAGATATTGACTCCATATGTTATTGTATTATAACCGTGGGTTTTGATTTTAAAATTTCATAGGTTAAACACAGCTCATGTGACATGTCCATATGCGTGGCCATGGCTGAATGTGAACATGTACATTGTACATTTTATATAATTTGTCACAACATCACCTACCGTGTACATGTACCGGTACAGATGATCCCTCAAGACCTGAAAAATATCATCCCTGCTGCTTTATGTAACAAAATAAGGCATACATACATGTACACGTATAAAATCATTTGCATTTATCCCAAAAGTAACCTACCGATACCAAATTATAATAAAACAGTTGAGTTGGATTAGTTAAAGATCATACTGGTTCTGAACACCCATGAAATTATTCCGTCTGGCCTGCTGTCATTCAGAAGAAATCAAGAAATGAACATGTTGGTGATTTCCAACGATCAGTCAATTGACTGATTTTTGGAAGTAAAGGGTGCTATCCATAGACAAAATCATGTTTCATGATCAACAGGTCGTGCATGGTTTTTCAGTGTTCTCGCGAAAAGTGTAATATCCACTGAGCTGAAATTCAACTGGTTAGGTTTTGGACATTCTTCATTGGATTTATTGGAAACAAACAAAGATCATGAAAAGGCAGAGTGGACCATTTGTAATTTGTGCATTTTGTTCGTTTGAAGCAACAAAAGTGCTCAAAATCTTAAGAAGGGAGCTTAACAAGTAACCTGATGAAGTTTTACATGTAGCTTTATGAATGCTGTATATCCTGAGAAAACAATTATCCAGGATCTCGTTTTCAATTTAAAAGTTGCGGAATCATATTTTCAATTGCACCCGAAATAGCATCTGGGACACATTCTCATTTGAAGCCGATTGCAGCTACACGATTGCATGTACTGAACTGACTAAATTTAGCAACTGTGCCCGTGTGCATCGTGTCAACGCTTACATGCACCCATTCAGTGTTTCCCCTGGCTAATGAACTGAGCGAGGTGGTAAAAATTCAAATTGATGATTGAAACAAAATTTACGCAGTCTGCAAACTGAAAAGAATGCAGTGCTCACAAAAAATGCGTGATGATTCCATCTACATGTACACATCCAAAATTGTGAATTCTTGATACATAAAGGTCAAGGAAAACGCTCATAAATTACACAAAACGTAAATTTTTCGATTAGTATTTCCTTATTGCAAATCTTCACAGCGAGGTGGTGATATTGGCAAAAATTGAGCGAGGTGGTCACTGAAAGTAGCGAGGTGGGCCGCCTCACGTTTGGATAGGCAGGGGAAACACTGCACCCATTCACCAATTACAAACCAACTTTTTCAGGAAATTAACAAAAATGTGTCGTCAAACATCTTTGGAAATGATTGTTTTCTTCAAAATGACAGCATGCCAGAAAGAATAATTTCACGGAGTTTGGTGTTATTATTAACCCAAAATCCTGAGGCATTTTTACTAGGATGCAACCTCAATCCTGCAAAATCCTTCAACTGCCTCCATGTAAAAACTGCATGTATACAGGCTCAATTTTGCAAATTCCTCCATTTTGCAAAGAGGAGTTTGGAGGATTTGGGAAGGTTAGGGTTAAACCAAGTATGCCTTTTAGCAGTATTGTGGTCGGTCACTTTTTGGATAACTGCAAATGGTCCACTCTACCGGTACCTTTAAAGTAGACCCGAAATGCAAGGGACCGGTACATTGTCAGGTTTATATCCATGGGTGCACATATGCAAGCACACACAAACTTGTGTTCACCGTCAATTGTGGACATGCTATTGTCCCTCTTTGGGTGGCATGGGTAGCTTGTGCGTAAAGCACTCACCAAGGTGACCACGGTTCGAATCCTGGCCGCGGATCGCATGTGAGTAGAGTTGGGCGTTGGTTCTCTCCTGTGCCACAAGGGTTTTTCTCCAGGCCCTCCGGTTTTCCTCCCTCTGGAAAAATCAAACACTTTCGATCTCAGGCTGTGCTCCGTGGTCATGTATGGGTCGATGTGGCCGGCAGCCATAGGCGCCTTTACATGCCAGCGGCCCGACCACGTTGTAGCCGCGTCCTTCGCAATTCAGCATACCAGCTGCGAGTAAGGATGATTAGCCTCCCAAAGTATTATTATTATTAATTATTATTTTGTTTGTACTAACTTTTTAGGAAGACTCCCATAGGTTTTGTACACGACCCCAATCATGGACGTATGCTGGGAATCGTGGACGATATTCTCTTTTGTTCTCTGGCACATGTATTTTTCGTCCACGGTTTGAAAAGATGAACACGTACATGCACACTTGAATGTGCGCTAATGAAATGTGTACGCCAACCTTTCTACTAATTTGTTCGTTTTTCTTTTCAGAAAATTGATGAGAATGATGTTCTTGTGGATCATGGAATCCACTACCATCAACCCCAGATTTCTGTGGATGACCAGGAGGACACTGCAGGTAACTGAACACCTGGCATTCCAGAGTCCCACCTTACACAATTATTGTGAAGATTTGAATGAAGTACACGGAAAATGTGAAATTTGAAACAGTTGCAGGCAACTGCATGGAAAAATTGACTGTAGCAGTTGTTCAGAAGTAATCCACATTCACGTCAGTGGAAGTTAATATGAAGTTCACCTGTTGGAAACCAACATTTGTTTGGGTGGACTTGAGTCACTCCTTATTAAGGATGTGCATTTACAGATAGTACGGGAACCTGGTACCCTATTGAAGTAAAACATGGCTACTCGTTAATGGAGCCCAACCCTAAAATTCAAATCCTCGAAGTTTCCTGAAGGGCTTTGTATTTTACAGTGTAAACTACAACTTGTGTGGGCCATAGACATATGATAAAACCTAGACACGACATTTGCTATTGCGCCTGTGAGCAAAATGCTGCGCGTATTACGCGAACGCCCTCCATGGGCGTGACGCGTCGGCAAGAGAGCGGTCTCACTGCGCGCGTTATTTGGAATCAATTGGTCCCATACGCATGCGGGAAACAAAAAACTACATGTAAGTGGTGCACAAGTGCATTGGCGCTGGCCTGAACATTCGTGGGATACGCATAAAGTATGCGCGTAAATCGAAGCCACATGATAATTCGTGCATCGTGCCAGGCTGCGTGACGCAGCCCGTTTTGCTCACAGAATTTACAACGTAAAAGCAGTTGATGTGGTGTCTAGGTTTTATTATACTCGTGTATGTCTATGGTGTGGGCATCATCTGTTGCTCGTAAATGTGAAGTCTGGTGTGGTTTTCCATGTAGCCTGGTTTGCATTTTGACAATTCCCACATACATGTATGGCATTCAGAACCTTTCCTTTTTCATTGTCTGAGAAGTTACTAAGTAATTTGTAAAGTTGGTTACGGGTACCTGATGCCATAATCTGAAACAGGTTCCCAACATCAGTGGCCGGATACCCGGTTCTGATGCACACCCGTATTCCTTATTATAATTTGGTTTAGCGCAACTCTGGAACACAAGTCAGAAAGATATTTCCAAGAGTGTTTTTCATAATAAGCATGCACCACAAACGGGTTACAGTCCACTGAGTCCAGGATGTCAACAAAGTCAACATCAATGTGTGGACATACATGCAGCCAATCAGTATCATTTTGCATAATGTAATAAGGACTTAACAGTTATTAATTACACCCACATACATGTAATACATGCACATGTACCTGTATCTGCACACATGTTAACATTCCAAATATATGGGATGCAATCAAGCTAAATGAGTCATTTGTCGACCCTGGTCAATTTTTCTTTTTTTACAGATTTGAAAAGAGCACAATCTGAAACCACATGCTGATACCATCTTTAGTAAAAAGAAAATTATGGAAGTCAGAACACCAAGAGATGTGATGAAGTGATGTGATGAAGTGGCCCTATTTTGGCCTGAATCTCCAAATGAAAGTTCCCGACAAACGACTTATTTAGCTTGATCGGATCACATATTAAAATAAAAAGAAGAATACATTAACGTGTGATATAAAAAACCTTAAAATGAAAAAAGTCCTCAACCCTTCTGCTGTCTGAATTGTCACAGACAGTCAAAAGAAGCAATCCTCCTCCCATGTCATGCCATGCCATGTCATAACTTTCTATTTCTTTTTATATGGATATCTTTTTCAGAGTGAATGATAATTTGAATTGTCCAGTAGATGTTCCCTTGAGGGTTACAGCTGCTTATCAGTGTTTCTTGTCTTGATCGTTTTCCAGGGCACCGTGCTGTCTACGTCGGGGTGCATATGCCCCTGAAGCACAGACACCATCACAGACATCACAGACATAAGCACAGACACAAGAAGAATGGGCTGGAGGAATCCGACTCCAATCAGGAGATGGGGCCGTCGTCAGAAACGCCCCTGCTGAAGGAGGAAAAACCAGGTAAAGGATGTACATTGTGTACTTTAAGATTAAGAATAAATCAATATTCATTGTTCTTTCATTTAAAGCCCTGCAAATCAGTTTCAGGTGATAAGATATGAAGTGTTTTAAAGTAACTTGTGTCACACAGAAAGTCACTGCACAAAAAAACAACTGCGGAGAGCAGTTTAGCATGACTGAATCTGCCTGCTTACCCTGAGTATTCATAAGATGAAATTTTGCGTCGGGATGATGTACATGTAAATCAAATTAGGTTTTGCCCTTCACCAACGTATAAACACTGAATACTCACTGTGTCACCTCCCTAGTGAAAGTTGGAAACAATCACTTGGTTACCCTGAGCTTAACCACACAAAAGAACATTGCAAGGATTTGAAGTGTGATCCATACTGGACAGAAGATTACCTCAGAGGAATTCGAGGTGTGGGCCCTACATGTAACTTTGTGGACAAAAGTGGGTTTTGTAAAACTTGGAAAGGTTTTGAAGTGCAGAAGACTAGGCGGGTTAAAGCTGTATTTCTGGAGTTCGTCCAGATTTGTTGATTGTAGAACACCATGGACCAGTGGTTACGTAGAACGCCAAGGTCCAGTGGCTACGTAGAACGCCGTGGTCCAGTGGTTACGTACGGTAGAACGCCATGGTCCAGTGGTTACGGTGTTTGACTCATGTACGAAGGTGCGTGGGTTCGAACCCTGCCAGGAACATGGTGTTTGTGCCCTTGGGTAAGACACTTAACTACAATTGCCTCTCTCCACCGAGGAGTATAAATGGGTACCTGTGAGGGTCGAGGACCGATTGAGCGCTGATATCGGCTGCCGAGTGGTCCCATGGCCTGATGAACGGGGTAATAATTGTGAAGCGCTTTGAGATTGTTGATATGATGGAAAGCGCTATATAAGCACAATTATTATTGTTATAATTTGATTTCATAATGTTTACAAGCCATACATGTATTTCAAAAGTCTGGGTCAAAGAAAATCTTGGGTCAATATTGGTCAAGTGACCCACTGGTGTGTTAAAAAGTATACCAGGGGGAGTGGAAGGAAGCTTTGACCATTTGTGACCTTTTAATCAGCAGTAGGGTTAATGCATGTTCGAAACCCAAACGGGCACCTTCCCTCGAAAGAGTTCCTTTAATTTAAGGGCCCTTATGGTCTGTGTGCAATGTGCAGCACTTCACTTAATTGAATTCAGAGCTGGCTAACCGTTCTTGTACACTGTGCCTTCCTGTTTGAAAAGGTTACCGCAGCCGCATGGAATTCCCCTGCACTGCTGACATTCTAATGTCTTAGCTCAAGAGGCGGCTAGCTTCTTGAATACCACACGGGCAAAACTTTGGCATTTGTCAGACCAATACAGACATAATTTTGATTCAATTTGTAGAAATATATTGAAAATCAATGTGCACGTCTGCAACTGAGCGCAAACTTCTCCCAGCTGTGAAAGTTTGGCTTCAGTGCACTTAGTGGTGCATATTGCCACTCAACAAATAAACTCAGAAGACATGATCCCTTGAATGTATTGATTCAGTGCCGAAGCTATTGCATATTTGAGCCTGCATATTCGCAACCGATTTGTTTTTTCTCTTGGTTTCAAGAATAAATCTAAAATATTGAAAGAATTCAACAAATAATTGTCAACTGTTTTTGTGTTAAAAAGGAATCGATTTCAAACTGCAAAATTTTTTTATATAATATTTTTGCTCGACCAATTGCTTGACCAAACTATTGGGAAAAGTTGCAACTGAACATATGTATGGTTACATTCAATCCTAAGGTGTTTGTCAAGTCATTCTCTTGATAACTTAAGTTCTAGTTAAAGCGAAAATCCCTGCTTATTGTAACTGGAAATTATGTGCTTACAGTTTAGCACACATGTATTTCAAAGATTAGCAAGGAATTTTGGCATACGCACAAATGTCTGCATCTCATAAAGTTCACGTAAGGATTCTGTGCTCACAAGTTTGGCATTTTTTTGCCAGCACTGTTAGCACAGAATGGTGATAGTTAGTGCGGAATGCTGTGGTTATGTGAGCCATAAAATTGGGTCCACGTTGCAGATCAATCCTTAATGTAGTGCTTATTGCACAGATTTTCTGAATCGTTTTTCAGAGCAACCACCTCAGCAGAGAGTGAAGTTCATTCTTGGTGATGAAGGGGACGAAGAGCATGTCTCCCACGAAGTCTTCACTGAGTTGGAGGAGCTGACGGTAGGAGGCGATGGGGAGGAGTCATGGAAAGAGATGGCAAGGTAGGTAGGCTAGGGCACAAGGTATCATTAGCAAAAAGGTATCACAAGATATTACATGTTATATGGTATGTATGCGTAACAATGTATCATAAGGTACCGGTATCATATGGTATCACAGAGTATCAAATGCTATCAAAAACTATCATGAGCCATAATTATTCAGATATAATGAATATAAAATAAATTGCAAGGTGTTATAAATCACAAGGCATCACAAGGTGTTTCATTGGGTTGCAAGGTATCATAAGATACCACAAGGTATCTTAACTATATCACAAGGTATCAAAAGGTTTTGCAAGGTGTCACTGATTATCTGTAAGGCGTCGTTAGGCATTATACGGCATCACAATGCATCACGGGGTATGACACATTTTACAAGGTGTCAAAGGTTAACACAAGGTATCGCAAGGTATCGCAAGGTATTACAATGTGTCACAAGGAGTCATAATGTATCACATGGTATTCGGAACATGAGGTATTGTGAGGCATCAAAGATAATCGGTAAGTCTCACATGGTATTCTGTGGAATTGCAAGGTATCTTGTACTCTTGGCTTAGTAGGAATAAAAAACAGTGCAGAAATTGTATAGGGTGTTTTTTGTGTTTTAAATACCGGTACCTTGGCTATGGCATGGAGTACAAATGACCATATTTCATAGGAATGTACTCAAACCTGTGGCAAATTTCACAGAAACCACAAGTGATATTACGTTACGATATTTTCACGTTCTTAACTGTATATGTTTTGTGTCCATTCCGCCATCTTCAAATAGTTCTTGACCGAGCTTGTGTAATTGACTGAATTTTGATCAGCATTGATGTATTTGTTCTCAGATGGATCAAGTACGAGGAGGATGTGGACGTAGGAGCTGATAGGTGGAGTAAGCCTCACATAGCCACCCTCCCTCTACACAGTCTGTTTGAGCTCAGGAGTTGTCTGATGTCTGGTACCGTGTGCTTGGACATGGAGGCTGAAGATCTCTTACAAATAGCTGGTAAGAAATGAAACTCGGAATTGTAGGGCGCCAGTGTCCAAGGGTTATGGCGTTTGACTCATGTGCCTGGGTTAAAACCCCTGATCCAGAAAACTCGGCAAGACACTTTACTATAGTTTCCTCTATCTGTCGAGGATTACAAATGGATATATGTGACGTTAGAAACCAGATTGCGCTGATATCGAGCTGCTGTAGACAGGGTAGAAAAATAGTCTCATGGCCTGATGAACAGAGGTTATAATTGTGAAGCACTTTGAGAACTTTGGTGAAAAAGCACTATAAGCACCACATTACATGTTCTTATTCATGTTCTTATGATCTGAATTTCCTGTGATGCTTTGTACTCGATCATTCATTTATTGGTTCTAATTATTTACACATTGGAAAGTAAAGGCAGCATGTATTTACTTTCCCTACTTTTCAACAAATTCAAATTCTCTTATGTTTTTTCAAGTTGTGTGTTAAAGGAAACGCAACTTTCTTGACGTTGGTGCATTTACAAACCTCTGAAGCAGGGCTATTCCCAATTTGAGTTCACTCTCAATTTGGACACAACATTAAAGATATAGTCCATCATTTGTAATTTGTGCATTTTGTTCGTTTGAAGCAACAAAAGTGTTCAAAATCTAATGAAGGATACTGAACAACTAACCTGATGAAGTTTCAGCTCAGCTTCAGCTATATATTCCGAGAAAAACAGCATTCTAGGATCTCAATTTCAAATCAAAAGTTCCTGAATCATGTTTTGAATTGTTTTGAATTGCAGCTGTACGCGATGTCGCGCACTGATCCGACGAATTATAGCAACCGCGCGCGCCTGTGCATCGTGCCAATGCTTGCGCGCGCTGCGCCGAATAACAAAACGAACTACTAATTTAGATTTTCCTACGGTGCGTCTTAAGAAGCACCGTTGGAAAGGCCTTCTTTCGTTGATTACTTCAAAATGATAGCTTGCCAGAAAGATTAATTTCACAGGAAGTTTAGTCCACTTACTATCTTTCAACCAAGTATGTTTTCAACAATGGTACGCCAGTTACTTTTTCGGATGGCTGCAAATGATGGACTATAGCTTTAAACTCGACACCTAAGGCATTTTCTGTAATGGAATCTTTCAGAATCTTTCAAAATCTTTCATCCTGAATCTTCCAAAACCCACCAAAGTGCTGGAAACCATTGACATACATGTATTATTTTGTACCGGTACTTGAACTTCAAGGGGCATCAAGCCATGTGTAGAAGTAGCGGTCGGTGGGCTGTAACACCCTCCATCATGCAGAATCCTCTAAATCTTTGGATGGATCTTGATAAATTTTGAAGGATCTGGCAGGGTTATATTACAATACACTGTAATAACGCGCAAATATGTTTACCCATAACATACTGAGCATTCTAAGGCAATAATCAGCAGATGCGATATATACCGTATGCTTCAGTCAACAATCTTTAAGTGATCATCCACATAGCTGCACACCTCTTTCATCCTCACATATGAGCCCATCGCATCGCATTGCATTGAGTTAATAGCAAAACAGGAAAAGGCCTCCAAGCTTGTCTGAATTTTTTTTCTTCTGTGCCTGGCTGTGTTTCTTACCTGACGGATCAATAAACGCGGGTGAATACTAAATGCTGATAACTGAGTAGTCGCCGGCCAGCATCTGTTCCTGCATAACCTCTGCAATAACAGATACATTTCCAATGTCTTAAATTTGGTATTTTTTTATCCTGTACATGTACATTGAAATACATACCATGTGTGTTTTGCTTTATTTATATCTTTAGGATGGCTTTGAGGGGGATACAAGAATGTGTTGTTATAGCGAGTGCAATATATTGTTGTATCCCCAAACCAAAGCCATCCGATATTATTTATATCAGGCTGACTTGATCCGCAAGAAATAAAGTATATAGACACTCTCTTTATTTCTCAAATTTCATCGAATAATCTTTTTGCTTACCATAGCAAATTTCACGCCGCTCAATTATATGCCATTGTCGTTGTTGCAACAATGCGCGCTGTGTCCGTGGGTGACAGTTCAGCGCGCAATGCTGTGTTGGCCGTAGCCATTGACAATTGATCTTTTCCACTGTCCAGCCGCCATATTTGTCCATTTCTTGGCATGAACAACGCATGTGATGTATTTCCACCACTGACTTGGCTCCATGAGCCGGGTCGGTGGTGGCTGATCCGGGTGAGCCCCGAGAATGACGTCCGAGCTACATTATAAATCGAACGGCACAAGTCTTAACCAAGTCGATCCGGATGAGCTACTCAAATGCACAAATTGGCAGTTATTGCTTTTTTGATCAAAAATCAGGCTTGCAGTTGCCAATTAAAAACTTGATACAATAATTCAATTTGATGGAAATTTGAACAATTGAAGATGTACTGAAGGTACCGGTATGGACTGCTTACGCTGGATTCATTAATTGTGTCTTTCAGATATTGTGCTGGACAAACTGATCGCATCCAACCAGCTGGAAGAGGAGAAGAGGGACCAGGTGCGGGAGGCGTTGCTACGGAAACATCATCACCACGGCCAGAAGAAACACCGGGAGAAACGCGGGAGCAGCATCCTGCCAATGATCCGCTCACTGACGGACATTGGGCGGAGTCTGTCGGGATCCGCCAGTAATGGGAGCAGTATGGAACAAGGTACAGTATAAAATGGAGCCTTGATCTCATTTCCCACGTGTATCATCAAGACCCCCTAAAACGACAAGGTCCTAGTTTGATGCACGCGCATTGCAAGCATTACCTGCGCCAATTACGATGACTCGAGGATATACAACAATATGAGAACAGACAGTGCCCTAAGTAATTCTAAAATCTTATTGGTCACTATCTCTGATTCTGAAATCTTATTGGTTGCTATTCCGAAAGTGATTCTGAAATCTTATTGGTTCAGGCATGCCATTTTCCTCAGATCAGCTGATTTCCTCATTTTTCACTTCAGACTTTTGCCATTTAAAATTGAAAAACACTCTGCAAAGTCCTGTAAACATTGGAATTTCCTTGTTTTTTGGGGTTAATTCCAAGTTACATGCCTGTTGGTTGCTAAATGTTTCTCTAAATGATTCTGAAATCTTATTGGTTTTTAAATGTCTGTGCCTTGACAATGCGGCCTTATCTGTTTTCTGATTGGCTTATTTCTCCAGCATGCTGAAGTCACGCAGTGCCGTAATGTTGATATTTAGATTAAGTTAACCCCTATGTCATAGGTCGTTCAGCCAACCATGCGCTGATGGATGTCAGGCTCCGACATTGTAATTGACATCCGCAATCATCAGAGATCTTGAGACTGTGTTGGGCAGAAGAAATTAAATCACTTACCCCATAACTCACTGTCATCAGACATGAAACTTATGATCGTATAAAATCAATAAACAGGTGCATCTCCAAGACGTTATTATGTTCTCGTTATGTATGCAAAAGGGTACAAAAACTCCACAGTTTTTACCAAATTTAAGGTGGAATTTTGGAAGTTGGACCAAAGGAAGGCAAGGGGTTGACAAAATTATAGATATTTTTTTGAGTTTGCTCTAGTTTTTAATATTTTAGTGGATGTTTTCAGAAATATTTGGTGTTTCATTACATTCTAATTGTTTCATTAAAATATGCCACCATATTTGTTTTATTGCTCGAAATAACAAAATTCATAGTTTGTTTAATTTTTGTTTAAATTACAATACCCAGTATTGTATTTGCGCTTAAAAGCCAACTCCTGTTTTTGTGACATGTGGTGGACCTATCAGGCATTCTCACAATTTGTCAGGAAGTAATTAGTACAGTACATGTATACATGTACATGTGTAAACAGCCTGCAGATGAGAAAAAAATCTGGTCCAATTTTCAAAGTCTGTGTCTGTCCATTGCACCACATTGAACAACTGGCGTGATAATGTTTGAAAAAAAAATGGCCCTTCAGCTGTATATTGGAGCACACAAATCACCTGTAGTTTTTTAGTTGACATGATCAGTGTTTTTGGAAAGGCTTTACATGTAACTTGCTTGGCAGTTGGTAATAAAAGCTGCTACTAATTTGTGGGTGGGAGATAGCCACGTTCTACCAGGCACGTACACACATACCTGAAGAAGTGGTGCGATGGCATGTCCATTTGTTGTGTGTGGAAGTCATCTGATACTGCCTGATCTGTGTCACCTTTTACTTAGATGAACATGTGTTGTTGTTTGTACATTTACCAGTGGATGTACATGTGGGACTCGGGCGACATCTTCATGACATTTAAGAGGTTCAGCAACTCATTTTACTAAACGCTTACCGATACATGGCAGTGCGTACTGGAAGCCTCGCGTGCCTGTTTGTGTTTTGGGAAAAGATATGGAGTGGGCAATTTACGTTGAGCTCGTGCACGTGAACCTTTTTAATATTGCTGCAGAATACTCAACACGAATGTTGAATGATAATCTTCTCAAGTCTATAGATCTTGACGGTGGGTTATGTTTGCAGTAAAATATATGTGACAGTTAATGACAGTAGAATGAGTGACAAATTACATGTAAGTTTTTTCATCTCCACATTAACAGGAGCTCAATGAAAACGTTCACACGCGTATGCATGACACAACGCAGGTGCGGGTCCTAGGCGTACATGTACATGTAGGGCGAAACCTTGTAACTTCTAGTTGAAAAAGTGATCATTTGACATGTACATTACCAATGAAAAAAACAAGTTCAAAAATATCCCAAGGATCAAATTATATAGAACCCCATCTTTTTTGTCTGGTTATTATCGTAAGAGAGAGAAAGTTGCTCATCTCAGTCGCATATTGATTTATACAGGAAAAGAGTAAATTCCTCGCAGGATTTATTTTTTTGAATTTATTTTTTAGTTTATATTAGCTTTGGTGAAGGCGTTCATCATTATTCGTCCGAACGCGGTAAACGATCGGCGGTGCATATTCTCGCTATGCATGCAATGCATTAAAAATACAGCGTGCCCAGCGACCTCATGCGGCCACTACTTTATGCAAATTAGTTGGACCCGATCGAACGCCTTGATTAAATCGGGGCTGGTGCTCGTTATGTTTTATAATAGCCTAAGCTGACCTTAAAAGTTGTGTTTTTATTGGTTGATCGTTGCGTGGAAACTTGCATTTTGCGAGCGGTGTGGCGAGACATGTACCAATACTGTACACATTTGTAATACATACACCGTACACACACATTGTGTGTCGATGTCTCACATTGCGCACAACACCAATGCACAAAAAAATGTGGTTTATAAAACGTCCGCAAAAGGCGAATAGCTGCAAGTAATTTGATGGCGTCAGGATTTACCAGTGTGTGATTGGACACTCCACATATTAGCCCCACCTACCGGTACACTTACAAATGTATCTGTATTCGCATACGAGGTCGTGCGCTAAAAAATCCAGCGCAAAATAAAGAAAAACATAAACTTTTGCCGACGATTGAATCAAGGCGTTTGATCGGGTCCAACTGATTTGCATAAAATAGTGGCCGCATGAGGTCGCTGTTTGCGCTGTATTTTTAGCGAGGATATGCCGCCAATCGTTTACAACGTACATGTACAGACGAATAATGACGAACGTCTTGACCAAGGCTAGGTTTATATTGAAAGAAATTTGTGACCTAATGGATTCCGTGCATGAGCGTAGAGGGGCGCACCGAAAGCGCGTAATGGCTTGTGCGCATATTACGCACAAAGTACATACAACTAAATTTACTTTGAATGTCAGAAAGGAGGCGCCGTCAGCAATGCGTTTAATGTCCCTCCCAGTGGTCTCCCCAAACTCTCCCTCTGCAACTGTTGAGGGGGTACTTTTGTACCCCTTTGCTCCCTCTTTGAACGGTATTTGATATTATATGTAGTCTGCTCTTGTTTTGTTTTGTTTTTATTTTAGAGAGTGCGATTCCGGCTCTTTCAGCTGAAGCTGTATTCCATGGTATTATAAATTACATGCATCTAACATACAAGCTGCGAATCTGGTTTCATACACTCAACCAAAAAAGAAAGTCCCCCCTTCCAATACTTTTTTGTATAACTCAAAAACTACTGAGCACCTCTCACTCAAATAACGACCTACCGGTATCAGTTCAGATATTCTTTAGCAATCCAGCCATACTGTTTATTTGGCCCAAAACAGTGACAATGTGTACGAATTTATGCAATTTATGACAAAAGATACCGACAACAGTTGCACTTTTGTATACGTGCAAGTTGTGGTTCACACTCACCTTGCACGTATACAAAAGTGCAACTTTTTTTCGGTACCATTTTTCATAAATTGCATAATTTTGTACACATTATCACTGTTTTGGGCCAAACAAAGAGTATAGCGGGATTGCTAAGGAATTTCTGTACTGGTCAGTCGTAACTTGAGCAAGATGTGCCCATTTTTTTTAGTTAAGACAAAAAAGTATTAAGGGGGAATTTATTTTTTGGTTGAGTGTAGCTTACCGTACATGCTCTTCTGCTCATCATGTCCTTCAAGTTTGAGGCATTCATTAATAAGCATTTGCTGTGGCAGTGGCGCTGAAACTGTGTGGATGTTTTGAGCAATACTGGTTTATTTCCCTTCGGTTTTGTAGGCAGAATTCTGTGGTTACCTTTTGCAGTATGTGTTCCATTTCATGCATGGACATAATTGGCCATTTTTTCCCCACCATTTGTTGATGAACACTTTTGCTGTTATGAACTTGTGAGAGCATGCAATCTTTTCCTGCTGTCATCTGTAATGATATTGAAGCCTGTTCCTGCCCTTTTATGCAAATGTCAACTGTATGAAGTCATTCATCTCATCTTTCACAGACCTGCACCCAAGGGGGGTTGGGGGGGGGGGGGCACTGGGTGTGTACATGTACAAATGTAGGGCAACCATCCACCTCCAACCCCATCCCCCCCCCCCCCAAAAAAAATAGGAATTTAGAAAAAGTCCACATTTTGTAAGCGTTCTTTTCTTCCAGTTACTTGAATAAATTGTCCTTTCACTACTGCCTATTGACAGATGTTGTTTCTTTCATTGACAAAATCAAAAGCAGAAATTCGTTAAGAATTTGAAAGGATGAATATAGACAATACATACCGGTACATGCACATGTTGTATGTTTCCCACTATACAATAGCTCCAAGTTGTATGTATTTATTTCACATAATTTAGACGGTACATATTGCTTGGAATGGGCATTAAATGCGGCTTTTATGTACATATGTACGTCCTTATACAAATATATATGTGGCCTGTCTTTAGTCTATTCACTTTCTCACTTGAAATCTGTTGTACATGTCGTATGAACCTGTCTTTTACGGCAAGCGCCTGTTCCTCCATGCTGCAAGTACATGCATCTCACTATGTGGCCTTTTGATTCAATCTTTTGATCTGTCAAACATACATTCTCTACTTTGTCATTTGAATTAGCCGTGAACTTATCCATATTATGATGCATTCATTAGCTTGTGTCACAGCATTTTTGTGCATTCTCTTCATACCAGTCCTGTTCACTGCCAAAGACTGGTGAAAGCCTACATGTACCGTACATATGTAAATGTAGGTGAAGATAGTTAGGCTACCATTGTGCTTGGACCCTATTCCTTCAGATGAAAGTCAATTTTGGTGGGTTTTCCCCCTATTTGCATTGCCTGATTCTTAAAGGGAATATACAACATTTGCAAACATCGAAAAATAAAACTACCAAGTTTTTGTGAAATACCTTAATAGGACGTTGGTAAATGACAGTCTAAAGCATCCTGTAAAATTATGGCACCTGGTATACTGTCATTTTCAAGAAAAGTGGTATTTTTGTATCAATTTCCAACGCTGATCGGCCGATCAGCGTTGGAAACAACTGGCCTTTTTTCAAATACTGGCCCCAATTGACTATTGCACTTGTTTGCAATCGATTACAAACCTATGAACGGGTACGAGCCAGCTAGACTGGTTCCCTGACCTTACAATTCTCCAATGTATGTAAACTGCTCTGTTTCTTCTTATATGGAGTCAGGGAACCAGACTACAGGTAAATGATCGTTTTTCTTGGTTTTTATAGCATTTTCGAACCCAAAACCTCCAAAAAGTCAGTGTTACTATATTTGCTTTATATTTCCAATCCCCCAATTCCAACCATTTCTGAAAATTACAGCAAAAGCAAATGATGTATATTCCCTTTAAGCTCCTTAACCCTAAAAGGGCCGGGGGGGGGGGGGCGGACCCCTCAACTTTTTTGATAGCCTTAAAAAAAAAAATGTTCGCGACCCGAGCTGTTATGACTTTTTAGCCTCGAGCCTTGCGCATCTTTTGATACCAAAAACATAAAAATCGGATCATTGGTTGCCGTGCAGTGAAAAATTTTCCGGCGCGTAAAAAAACTGAATTTTCTCATACGTCGTGTACATAGAGCAGAATTACCATTTGTACATATGAATAATTAATTAGCCATAATTCCAAAACCTTTGACCTATAGTCATGAAATTTCTTGGGTATGTTCATGATGAGTTGCTCTATGCATGTACCGAGTTTCAAAATTTTTCGGCACTCGATGGCCGAGATCTTGGGGGAATCCCCCCCCCCCCCCCTTGCATGAATTCATCAGTTTGATGGTTTTGCGGTTGAACTGAAGATCATGATAAGGTTCCCCGACCAACCAAAGGGGAATTTCTACAAGTAGTAACATTGACTTTTAGGCCAGTAGACCCAGGTCAATTTCTTCTCCTGGGTTTTCATCTGTTCGTACATTTATCTGCACAAAGTCTGAAAACACTGTGAAGGGCTTCTGCTCTGCAGTTCAAGCTTTCATTTTATGAGTAGGGTTGTTGATTTGGTCAGTCACAAGACAAATCACAATCAGGTCACAAGAAATACGATAAACAATGATGAAGCATTTCCTTCCGGTAGCTCACACTAGCAAGGATCCAACATGGCTTCTACTCTCGCCAGGGTTCAAAACGGTAGTAACCGAGCGAAATAAGCTTGGTTTGCACAAAACAAGTGTGAAACGATGCGGGGTTGAACGCAGGGTTGAAAAATAAAAAACCCAAACTGGGGTGGCACTGGGTTCGCCCAGGGTTGAGTTCATCCCGGGTCGAGTTCATCCCGGGTCGAGTTCATCCCGGGTCGAGTTCATCCCGGGTCGAGTTCATCCCGGGTCGAGTTCATCCCGGGTCGAGTTCATCCCGGGTCGAGTTCATCCCGGGTCGAGTTCATCCCGGGTCGAGTTCATCCCGGGTCGAGTTTATGCTGGGTCGAGTTCATCCCAGGTCGAGTTCAACCCGGGTTGCGTTCAACCCGGCCTGAGAGGCTCTGGTGTGAAAAGGCCTGAAGTGTGAACAGTATCCGGTGCGTAATCAGTGTTTGATGGGACCAGGTTCCTCTTGAGGTAGACCTGTGTTGATTTCAACAAGGGTAAGATAAAGAAAGACGACAGTGTGAAATGGTCTTTTGTCACAGCTCATTTGAATACCTTGTGACTTGACTTGAGTATGGATCATGGTTTGATAATAAATTCATCGTGTTTAGAAACTTACATGTATGTACAAATCTTTCTGGGACTGACGGTCCTCGGTCAGGGCCAGGGGTGCTATCTCGTTTCTGCACTCAGAAAAATAATCGCGACTTCGTTGTTTCCTGCAATGGACAAATCATCACCCAATACCTTTCACTTGCTTGCACTTTCTTCAATACTAGTTTGAGCAACTCCTGGGATATTTTTTTCGAAATATTTTCGCGCTGTGTTTTTTTAGTATGGCTGTCGTATTTCTCATGTGGTGGGCTCATCAGTCTTTTCAAAATGTTTTCATTTGCCAATTCTTAATTTTTTTTTACAAATTTCAGAAAGCTGTGTGCTGTAAGCAATGTGTGGATGTTTCTAAATACTGGCATCACATTACATACCACTTAAAAAAAAACCTTGATAATTTTTATTTATGCATGTACACATGAAGGTATGCGTGTGCATTTTTTGGTTCTGAAATGTTATCTAGTGATTGCAATTTTCAGACAATTGATGATAATTGGTATTTATGTGTATGTAACTTCTTAAGTGGTTTTAACACATCTGTCCCTATACTGCCCCAACCTGACCTGCCTGTTATTCCCTGTACCGCCTGAAACCGCCAAGCACTTCATGGTTTTATGGATTTTACATGTATCACAGAGTAAATACTACCGGTATGTTATACAAATATTGAGTGGATCAGCGTGGAATGGGAGGAATATTATCGCAAGGTAAAATCTGGACTTTTCCATTTCACGAGGCGAAGCCGAGTGAACTTGAAAAGTCCAGATTTTACCGAGCGATAATATTCCTCCCATTTCACAATTTAAAGCCACTCAATATTTTTTTTATATAACTGACATATAGATACTTGGCATTTGATATATTTGAACTTTTTTTTTCAATACAAAACTGGATGAAAATGTATTTGTCTCTTCCAAACCACCCCTTCAGGAAAATGTTTGAACCCAACGCTGTAGCACTGGCTCTTTGGAACAATACGCGCAACGCTGAACGCGCACACCAGCATGCATTTGCACACAAATACCGCATCATGGTCCTAACTGTTGAATAGTATTTCCCATTCCCCATGGGCGGATAGTACTTTTTGAGCCGCGGCGTGAATGGGAGCAATAACGAATGTCACGTGATGCGAGTTCCACCAATCAAATGACTAGGATCTGTAGGTCAGTTATATAAAGTACAATGTACATGTAGTGCTATACAGGTGCTAATGGAATAATAGTGCTGATAAATTAACATTTGATAGGGCCTATACATTGTGTACATATTTCAAGATGGCTTACTGGTCAGTCACAGTAGCCTGACAACTGAGTCTATTGGAACTAAAGCTACATTTGTTGGGTAAATACCGTAGTGTGACAGAGACAACAATGCCTTTTGTTTCACATGCTTTGAGAACGTTTTGCTCATAAAATGCAGTTTTTCCACATACATGTTCCAATGAGAATTCATTGATTATTAGCCCTGCTCATTGTGCGCATAAAACTTCCAAAATGCATACATGTGTAAGATCTGCAACCATACAGACTGGACTTGCATTGAATCTGCAGAAATATATCCACATATATCGAGTTCATATTAATCTGCAGAAGAAATCCACAGTTGACTGGTTTATTATTCTCTAACGAATGCAAAGTGAATTTGACATCACGAAACATTCGCTGCACATTGTTCAACTTAGAGCAAAAACTTGATATAACATCACAAATTCAGGTTAGCATTTGCTTTTGCACTGAGTGTGAACCGGCCTTGAGGGTTGTGGAAAGACCAATTATAATATAATTTTTGGTTGGCTATTTTTACAATACCGAACAATAATTTTTCTTCAGCTGCCCATATGCAGTCCACAGCGGCCTCAACGCCCAACTTCTTACACCATCATAACTCGGGCACCCACCTGTCTGTAGACAGCAACGAAGACACAACAGGTTCAAGGAAGGAGAGCTCTGCATCGACAAGCAATCTACCAAAAGTAGCCAGTGCCACAAGCATGAGGGTAATAATACAAGATAATTCTGTGTAACTGAACTGCGGTATTTACATGTTCAAGATGGAATTTGTGCTGGGGAGATGTAAATTGGAGCGCTGTGGTCCAGTGGTTACCGTGTTCGACTCGCGTGCTGCGGTACGTGGGTTCGAACTCTGACAGTGAACATGGCGCTTGTGTTCTTGGGCAAGACACTTTACTCAGGCATGCAACTTTTCCTTGGATCCGCTGATTTCCTCGTTATTTACTTCTCATGAATGTCATTACAAATTAAAAAACACTGTACAAAGTCTTGTTTGGTTTGAAGCTTCCTCGGTTTTTTCTAAATTCCCAGTTGCATGCCTGTTTACTGCAATTGCCTCTTTCCACCCAGGAGTATAAATGGGTACCTGTGAAGGTAGAGATTAGAATGTGCTGATCTCGAGCTGCTGCAAAAACTGGTCTTACCACTTGACCACCAAGCTTGCTGGGCTTGACATGGCAGGTTCAAATCTGATATACATGTAGTAGTGGGCACTGCAACCAAACTATTAATAGGATAGAATTTGCATCAGGGAGGTGTTTGGGTGTTGCACTTTTACAACCAATTTTTTTTTATTTTTTTTTGTGGAACAAGGAAAATAAAGAGTTGTTTTCATATGGATAAGAACACAGATGGTTTGGTTGTGGTTTCTGCTGCTATATCAGAGAGTTTTCTGGAGGTTTGTACACAAACAGGGATGTGTTCAGCAGGCTACATTATATTATGAAGAGTTAGCTCTCTGGTTATTTAATGTAGTAAAAAAAAAAGTAAAGTTTGTCGCCAGCCAATGTGGCTCATCAGGCCGGCGTTTATCTCCGGTTTCAGTAGCATGAAATGACTGAGAATATTTATATTCCCCCTGGATGGGATTCTAGTCCATCACAGGTTACTCCCCAGCTAATGCCGGTACCCATTTATACTCCTGGGTGGAGAGGGGCAAGTGGGGGTGAAGTGGCTTGCCCAAGGACACAACATATGACCAGCAGCTGGAGTCCAACCCCGAACCCTCTGATCATGAGTCACGAACCCTAACCACTAGGCCACACACTCTATGTATATTGCTTAACAATGGATTTGTTCAGAAGCTCAGTGAATGCACATGAACGGTACTTAATTAAAGGGAATATACAACATTTGCAAACATCGAAAAATAAAACTACCAAGTTTTAACAAAATACCTTACTAGGATGTTGGTAAATGACAGTCTAAAGCATCCTGTAAAATTATGGCACCTGGTGTCGAGTCATTTTCAAGAAAATGGTATTTTTGTATACATTTCCAACGGTGGTCAGCCGACCACCGTTGGAAAAACCTAACTATTTTTCAACTACTCCAAATTTACAAAAAAAAATTCAGTCTAAATTTTGTTTGCCGTTGGTTACATGTTCATGAACAGGTGCAGGCCAGCTAGACTGGTTTCCTTACCTTACAATTTTCCGACATCTATAAATTGATCCATTTTATCTTTAGTGGAGTCAGGGAGCCAGACTAGTTAAACAGTTTTGTTTTTCTTGGTTTTTCAAGCAGTTTCGAACACAAAACTTCAAATATGTCAGTTAAACAATATTTGATCTATTATATTAACCCCTCAAATAGTTCATTTCTGAAAATTACAGCAAAAGCTAATGATGTACATTCCCTTTAACCTGTATTGGTCTGTATCCTGCAGGCAAAAAGCAACTTCATGCGTAAGATCCCCGCCGGTGCCGAGGCCTCCAACGTCCTGGTAGGCGAGGTGGATTTCCTGTCTCGTCCAATCATAGCATTCGTCCGGCTGGCCCAGTCCGTCCTCCTAGAGGACCTGACGGAGGTCCCTATCCCTACCAGGTTCCTCTTCATCATGCTGGGACCGCACTGCGAGGAGGAGACCAGGTATCATGAGATCGGCCGCTGCATCGCCACGCTCATGTCGGATGAGGTCTTCCACGGTGTGGCCTACAAGGCCAAGACGGTGGAGGATCTGCTGGCCGGGATTGATGAGTTCATGGACCAGGTCACAGTCTTACCCCCTGGTGAGTACACACATATCGGACATTAATCTCGGCAGTGATTGGTCAAATCGTCATGGATCGGTCCATTTCATGGCTCTGCGTTTCATAATAGATAGACCCATTAAGTCCTGCCCACCACGCACATGGGCAACAAACCATGCACCTATCCAATGCCACACGGCACGTTTCAGATGCGCGCTTCATACGCAAGTTCATGCATGTCGGACATTTGTACGCGCCTGTCTTGTATTAATCACGACTATGGGACTTAGTGAGTTGGCCTCCCATACGGTAGAACATTGCTGTAACAAATGCAATGAGGTCTGCAGCAGATTATACATGTTCACTATAGCAACGTTCTACTGTTTTTCCAACAAGTTCTAATTACAAAATTTTCTGCTGGATCTTGTTCATCATAGCATAACTACCAAATTATTATGAAATACCTTACTTGACTAAGTGAATAATAGTCTCAAGCATCCTGTGAAATCATGGCACCTGGAGTGCTGTCATTTTCAAGAAAGGTGGAAGTTTTGTATCAATTTCCAATGCTGATAGGCTGACCATCGTTTGAAAAAACTGACTATTTTTCAAATATTGCCCCCAATTTTCCAAATTTAGTTCGTCCACATTTTGTTTGATCGGTTACACATCTGTGAATGGGTGCAAGCCAGCTAGTCTGGTTCCCTGACCTGACAATTCCCCGATGTCTAGAAATTGCTCCATTTCATCTGAAGTAGGGCAAGGGAACCAGACTGCTGTACCAGAGCAGCATTTTTTTTATTTTTTTTCCCAGTATGCATGAACGCAAAACTTTAAACAGGTCAGTGTAACAATATTTGCAGCAATATGCCAACCCCCAAATCCATCAATTTTCTGAAAATTACAGCAATAGCAAATGTACATTACATTACCGGTACCTCTAATGGATCAGTCTACCAGTGTTTGATATTGTGTTCAGCAGGGTCCATAGAAAATCCAAGGATCTGCACTCGTGTGCAGTTTCAAATGAGGAAAATTCTGAAAAAAGGATGTTAAAAAACCACCCTCATTAACCTAGCACTATTGTGTGGTTGAACGCAGGTGCGTGGGATCCTGATATTCGCATTGAGCCGCCGAAAACGGCGCCCCCTGTATCCCATCGGCTGAACAGCGTCGCGCCGCTCAACGGCCACGTAGAGGCAATCGAGGAGGAGAAGAAACACGAAGGGCTGGATTTCACGGGAAGGTAACAGTTCACACTCAGTGAAACATAAGTCGTTTTTAGCTGCAACTAAAATCAATCAGTAATGCAATACTTGAACTTGACTACATCTCAAGTGTTTGAAGTATTGATACTTAGCATACTTGTACTTGAGTACTTTTCCTAAGTAGAAAAACTGCACTCCAGTCGATAATCAGTGTAAAACTATGGGGTTTTTGTGTGTGTATGAAGCCTCCATAATTCCAGCATGGGAAAAATAATTTTACTTATAGCACGCATGCAATGTAATTTTTTGTAATGCAATCTTTGAAAATGCACCTTTGTGTCCCATCCAACCTTATTTTTAATTTTCGTTTCGCCATTTTAAAGGGTATTTTGGTGCCTTTTTGTGTTGTTTTTGCAACTGTCAATACTGTGTATGAGAGTCCCAAAAACTTAAGGTACTGAAAGCATGCAATGCAAGAAAATAGACTGACATCTGAAACAACCAGTCCAACAACTCTTTAGTACTGCCATCAATCAACTGTCAGCTGACTGTGCCAAAAGAAATATCTAGGATCTCAGGTACTAGGTCACTATTTCTACACATTTCTCCATAGTCGGGCACCAGACTAACATGACTAATGACAACGAATGAGGAAGTCAGTCTTGTCAAACAGTTGGACCATGGATGGACATGTACAAGTCTAGTCTTTAGCCTCATTTTGAAATCATTGACTTCCCTCTCATTTGCAAGCCACTGCCAAATATTGAAGAAAAGTCTCCTTGAAAAAAACTTGGTTGGTGACATACTGAGGACCTTTTCTTTGCCCAGTGACAGTTTTGGAGAAATTTGCTGGCTAAAGAGTGAGTAAAGTTGGCCTGATCTTCTTTTGCATTGTTATGAGCACTTAAGGTCCCAGTCTGGTACATGCATAGCCTAAAGTCCCTTTTGTACCTGACTCACTGACTGACTTTAAACCCTAACCCCCTAATACTTCCTCAGGACTACCCTGCTAAATCCAACAGAGTCCAACTGGACTTTCCTGTTCAATCCACTATGCCCCATTTTCAGTTGTCTGCTGAATCCAACAGAGTCCAACAATGCGTTATAATGCGGTTCAGTTGCCTGCTGAATCCAACATTTTGCATGAGGAATGTACTCAAGGGGTTAACTGCTCAATCCAAAAGGCTCCATCGGGTATGTGACATAGTTGGATCCTGTTGGATTCAGCAGGGTTTATAGGCTTGCTTAAGTCTCACCTTGACCCGTTAATGCCAATGAATGGGCAAAACCCTGCCCATTGTTTAGGCTAAATGCCTGCAAAGAATCATTGATTGAATGGAATAGTGTGCGCTCTGCGGCCAGCTTTACTAGGCTTGACATTACCTTGTTTTTTGTCTTTCAGACCATTCGGTGGGCTTGTCGCCGACGTGAGACGTAGACTTCCACATTACCTGAGCGACTACCGGGATTCCTTACATCTACAATGTGTTGCCTCCATCTTCTTCATGTACTTTGCTTGCATCACCCCCGTCATTACGTTTGGTGGGCTACTGGGTGAGGCAACGGACAATCTGATGGTATGTTTAAAAAACACTGTATATTTAGCCCTGCACTTTACAATTCATTTAGTCATGTTTTACTATACTCCTGAGGACAATGCTTTGTGTTTCCCGGGGTCCCTGTAATATAACACACTCACATAACTGTAAGTTCAAGGACCGTTTTCAACAAAAGACGCAACAAGAGCCACACTACCATGTAGCTTCTGTCATTCTGGGGTCCTGTTTGAGGTCGGACATTGTGCTGGAAACATGTTAAACAAGCTTTTTTACATTTTTGGTTGATAAGGACGATCAATCGTCCAATTCCTGCGGCGAGGCAGGCTAGACTCAATTGGATTTTATTATATGGTACTTGTTGGAGGGGCTGGTGTTGGCTAGGATTTTCAGTTTGTAATATTTCGACCAAGGCTAAAGGGGCTCTCACTACGTTATTTGGCTATGTTTGAAAAAGGAACTTGTGAAATATAAAATTCGTTGACCAAACAATGTCGGAGTCATTTTAAAAATTCCACTGCGGAGGGTTAAATCGTCAAAGTGCTGCTTGCTGATTTTTTTTCTTGCAAACTAAAATAGAGTCAGTGAGTAAAGGCCATGTCTGTGTGCCAGCTGTATTGTGGGAAAAATTTAGATGAACTTGTTTGGAGGAACATACGCACAAGGTCAATAGCTGGCTTTCATGTAGTTTTATGAAGAAAAAAAAATTTTCCAACAATTCCTTAGCAATGACAGTATAACATTTTCCTACACACAATTAAACTTTTTCGTAATTGACAATTTCATTTTTGGATTTTAACCACTGTTATCAACTGCTTTAAGGACTTTGTGGAATGACCGAAAGAAGATGTTATTTACTTCTCAGTGGCCCAATTTTTATTCCCGATCAGCGAAATTTAGGCTGGCACATATGAAAACTTGATCAGCGCATTTCGAAGATTCAAATATTCGACCAAACCCGAGTTCGAATAATCAAATACTTTATTATTCAAAAATGCATAGCACTACTTCCAGGAGCTCAGTGCAGTATGTGCATGCCTTTCATCTCAATGGATTTGGAGGATTAGTATGTTATAGAAAATATTGTTAAACTGACTTGTTTCACGTTTTGGGCTTGTAGATGCTGGAAAAAACAAGAAAACCTTTCATGTTCTTATAGTCTGGTTTCCTGACCCCACTTAAGATGAAACGGAGCAATTAATACACTTTGGGGAATTGTGAGGTCAGAGAATCAGTCTAGCAGGCTTGTACCCCTTAACAGGTGTGTAATCAATTGCAAAGAAAAGTCCGAATAACTAAATATGAAAAATTAGGGACAGTTTTGAAAAAAGCCAGTTTTCTCCAACGCTGGTCAGCTGACCAGCGCTGGAAAAATAGTTTTGTCAGCACATCAGGAGCCACGATTTTAAAGGATGCTTTAGACTGTCAGTCCCTAACAATCCAGTAAGGTATTTCATTATAACTTGATCATTTCGTTTTTTGATATTTGCAAATGTTGTATCTTCCCTTTAACGAGTACAGTAACTGGTCCCATATTTAAAGAAACTTTCCTTTGCTTCACAGGCCACACTAGAGGGTCTCCTTGGGTCAGCCATATGTGGAGTGGGCTTCGCGCTGTTCTCAGGCCAGCCACTGACTATCCTCGGCAGCACAGGTCCCATTCTGATCTACGAGAAAATCCTGATCGGCTTCTGCAGGTAAGTGTTCAAATCCACAGTTTGTATATTTTTAAAGTAACTGTCATTGCTTTTTTTTTTACTTTGTCATTAATTATGTTGAACCTAGATGTTATTAAGTCTTGCATTGAATTTCAAAGTGATGCTATCATTATAGTTTTTAGAGTTGGGGTTGAATGGGCCTGTTTTATGCAGCAGTAAGAGATGAACGCAATATGTGACCTGTTCTGTCAAAATCAGACTTTTTCTGGGCATAAGGTCGAAAATGATATTTTTACATATTGTTAACATATGTTCTTTTTCCTTTTAATAGGTGGTTTAATTTTTGAAACCGGTCATTCCTGGGCAGAGTTATGCTATTTTGAAGTTCATTGTGTCGAAAAGTAGAAAACGGAAAAAATGGCCACGAACGTCACAAAACAATTATTTCTTTAACTGATATACCTTATCAAAATCATCAAAAATAGTATATGTAGAGTTCAAATTAGGGTTTCAAACTTTTATAATATATTTTAGACATGTTCAGGATTACAAATATGCAAAAATTTGAAAATCGATAAAAATCACCCCCACAGCGTTTTTTGGCCCTGTCTCAATTTCAACCTCTGCTTTTGACAGAACAGGTCACATATGCTCCGTACATTTTACAGGTACCCATTTGTACTCCTGGGTGGAGAGAGGCAGTTTAAGTAAAGTGCCTTGCCTGAGAACACAAGCACTATGATCCCAGTCAGGATTTGAATCTACATACCCTTGAGAATAGATGGGAAGTCAGGTGGGCGTAGTGGTCCTTCTTGCCTACCATTTGGGTTTCCTTGGAATATCCTCCCGACGTTTGCTACAACCTTTAAACCTGATCATTTCTTTAATTTACCTGAGTTTTTTTAGGCTTTCAGGCTACATGCTTGTGCAATTAGGAAGTACACTTGGTTTCATTACTAGAAAGAATTAAATCGGTTGATGATTAATGAAGTAAACCAACAGACCAGGGCCCAATTTCACGGCGCTGCTTAGCACAAAAATTTGCTTAGCACAAAAATAGTCTGGCTAATAAAAGCAGGTAACCAGCCAAAACTCCACGTGATGTACATGTATATTGCTCGTGATCAGTATTCAGCTGTTGTTTGCTTAGCATGAAAATCACATGGAGTTTTGGCTGGTAACCTGCTTTTATAAACCAGACTTTTTTTGTGCTAAGCAATGTTTTGTGCTTAGCAACGCCGTGAAATTGGCCCCTGTAGGGTTGTGCTGCATATACCGAAAATGTGAATGTTGGATTATCCACCGAATATCCCAATGGCATTTTTCTGATTCCAATGTTCACAAAATGTTAGGAGATGAAGAAAAACATCCATGTTGTTATTTCATATAAGTTGCGTGGTTTCATTGTTTGTCAAATGCTACATTTTGGTCGGCAGTCACTTAATACACGAGACTTCCGTGGGCAATATAAGCCGTAATTGCATCTTTATAATCATTGAAATATCAGCTAGTCTGCTACCTTGATAAAAATTTATCAACCAGTACATGATCATCAGTGTCATTTTCGACAGGCCCACGCAAATCCCAAAGAGACAGCACATATAATTTCAGACCAGCACACTCTAGTTAGGCTTGCTCATGTAAGACTTGTTGAGTGCATTTCAAATAGTTGATTATTCGATCAAATCCAAGTGTGAATAATCACGTATTGAATTATTTAAAATTGCACAGCACTCTGGACCAGTGTACCTTTGCTATAGCCAGCTACGATAACACGTTCATATACATTGATGATTTTTCTTGTTAGGTCCAATGATCTGGACTACTTGTCGTTTCGGTTTTGGATCGGCCTGTGGACAACCCTGATGGTCATCATCTTGGTTGCATGTGACGCCAGCGCGATGGTCAAATACTTCACCCGCTTCACTGAGGAGAGTTTCTCCAGTCTCATCTCCTTCATCTTCATCTATGAAGCCATCCACAAACTCATTAATATTTATGAAACAAACCCAGTCGCAAGGTATACATCATTATGACTTCTGCATATTTTAATGTGGTTTAAAGACAAGTAGGGTACCTGGAAACGTGCCCACCGATTTAACGAAAAAATCCTTGCACAATGTGAAGATAGGACTCGTACCAAATACCCTGTGAAATTATTTCACCTGAAATGGTATCACTCAGAAGAAAACAATTACTGAAGGTGGTTTAAGAAAATGTGCCCACAGGCACATAATGCATCAGCAACAAACCAGTTACAAGACCCCAAAATCTTTTCTCTATTTTCTCAAAATTTATAGAATCCACTGCGCTTAAACTTCAACAGGTTAGTTGTTGTGCACTGTTCATAAGACATTGAGCAATTTTGTTGCGTCAAAGGAAAGGAATGCACACAAAGCAAAATATCTCATGTAGCTTTAAACAAGGTGCTTTACTCCCAAGACAGTCTTGCAAGACCTTTCAGAAGAGACCTTCACATAAAGATGTTTTCAAAGGGAATGTTTTTCCTTGTATCGTGTTGTTAAATCCATGCCGTTTTCAATGTTGGAGTGCTTTGTGATGATCAGCAATTAAAGAGTTCTTGAAAACCCGGGGCAGTTTGGAACAGTAGGGTGCCTCGGGGTGCTCAGAGGACAAAAAGCACCTTTTGTTTTCACTGAAAACGATCTGGAAATTCATTAGGGTTGTATCAATGGTAAAAGATTACACGTTTTTGTCTAGAGAGCAGAAAGAGAACAGTGTCAGCACTACATACATGGTGGCAGCACTACAGTGTGGTACAAAAATAACTTTACACTTTTTCAGAGGCAGATTTCTCAAAATCGGGAAGGCATAGTGAAATTGTTTGAAGATATTCCTAAACTACAAGGTCTTGGTGGTACATGGTTTAAAAGGCATTGAAAATAAGCCTAAATTAAGAAATGGCGGTCATTTACAGAAAAATATGGTCAAAAACCAGTTTGTCCCCACGCGAGTTTGTGTATGAGATATGGTCATCGTTGTTGCAGTTCTTTGTACACTCGGTGGTATTGTTTTGAACATGTCTCATAGATGTGTGGACTAACTGGTTTTTGACTATTTTTCTGTTAACCCTACTATGCCCAGTGCAGTTGGCAAAGAGAATTATCAGACCTTTCAAAACATTTTAAATTTGCCTGATCAAAGGGGTTTTGAAAGGTGAAATAGTGCTGGAACTTTTGGACTTTTCAAAAGGTTTCAAAAGGTGAAGCAACTCTGTGGACAAATTCAGCAAGTTGCATTTCAGTACCTTTCGAAAGGAATTGAAAGGTGTGGAAGTGCAGTAACAATCAATTCTGGAGGATTTTAAAAGGTCCAGCATTTTTTTCCTCCAATTTGCCAGCACCCAGATTTTAAGGTGTTTTGAATGGTCTAACTACAGGAGAGTTGGCTGCCATTTATTAATTTAGGCGTTATGTTGAACGCCGTTTTCAACATATACCACCAAGATCTTATAGTTTAGGAATCTCTTAAACAATTGCAACATGTCTCCCCAATTTTGAGAAATATTGGGTCTAAAAGTTAACCTTTTTTTGGACCACCCTGTATTATGTGGGTGGCAGCAGCTTCAAGGAATAAATATTTAGTACGGCAGCAATGCAAACCAAGATTTCCGAATGTCCAACGTTAAATTCCACATGTCAAGCGTCAAATTCGAATTGATGCCCTCATGCTGAGTATAAGCAGCTAGTTGAGTGACGCTGACAATTACTATTATTCTGTTATGCCTACATGTAAATCTTTACATATTTTATGATCAGGAATCCAAAATTGTGCAGTCTTGGTTTGAAGCTAAAAGATGATGCAAACAAGCTGGGCGAGGAGGGCACTAAACCATTTTAGTCTTCGGACTTGCCATGGGGAACGACCCATAGGCACTGATAGGTACACCTATCAAACTCAGATTGAGTTGCTATAACACCGTCATTTGCTCAAGAAGGCCCCTTGTTCATCCCTTGTTAGGAGTGACCAAACTAGTGAAAGATGTACAGGGTGGTCCAAACAAAATGTACACTTTTTCAGGTGCAGATTTCTCAAAATTGGGGAGACATGTTGAAATTGTTTTAAGATATTTCTAAACTACAAGGTGTTGGTGGTACATGGTGAAAATAGCATTGAAAAAAAGGTCTAAATTAAACAGAAAAATGGTCAAAACCAGTTTGTCCACACGCGAGTCTATGAGACATGGTCAAAACGATAGCTCAAATGCACAAAGAACTGCAATAATAAAGACGATATCTCTTACACGCGTGTGGACAAACTGGTTTTTGACCATTTTTCTGTAAATGGCTGCCATTTCTTAGTTTAGGCTTTACTTTTATCGCCGTTTTCACCATATCCCACCAAGATCGTGTACTTTAGAAATATCTTAACATAATTTCAACGTTTCTCCCGGATTTTGGGAAATCTGCGTTTGAAAAAAGTGTAATTTTGTTTTGGACCACCGTGTACTTGGTGACCAGACTTACGATGGCCTTGCGATGGACTGGACTACATGTATATCACTGCTTATCACTTGATCGAACTGTATTCGCTAATCCTCCTCTGTGATTGTTTGTAGATGGCCCAACGATAACGTTACGTACGAGTGCGACTGCGTGATAGGGAACACCACTACGGATTGGCTGGACAAAGAAATCAAAGACTGCGAAAAACTCGACGGCGAAACAATAGGCAACTTTTGTGGGCATCATGTGCCAAAGAACGATGTGTTTCTGATGTCGGTCCTCCTCATGCTGGGCACATTCACAATCGCATTCAGCTTGAAAAAGTCACGCAATACACCATTTTTTCCAACGATTGTGAGTCGTAGCTTTTAATCCCTTAACAACTGAATGTTGTCAAAGTAAAGTTTATCTTACTGTTTACGCTTGTGTCGCATAAGACAACATAAGTCAACTCCTCTGACATTAAAGACTTCTTTGGCTGCTTAACAAGTTTGATTGCAGAATTAAGTGGACATTAATTAAAACAATGCCCATTATGTTATCTGATACAGGTATATAGGTTTCATATTGAGTCGATATACAGGGTGGATAAAAAAAAAACGAAACTGAGATATTATTGCTAATTGGAACAGAAGTAGGGCACATGTGAATCAAAGGGAGATATCCTCTGTTAAGGTTGAATCTCCTCTTTAAAATGGCACCCTGGTTATGTCATTACATTCACGGTTGACTGAGCAGTGACCAATTTTATGAAAGGGTCTATTTAGAGAATTGCGCCACTTTTCATTGTGAAATTTCTTTTTTTCCCCACCTGCCTTGATTGGCAACCATAGCCTTTCACTCTGTGACAAATGACCCCACAAAAACCACAATTAAAGGTGGCGCAATTCTCTAAATAGACCCTTTCGTAAAATTGGTCACTGCTCAGTCAACCGTGAATGTAATGACATGATCAGGGTGTCATTTTAAAGAGGAGATTCAACCTAACAGAAGATATCTCCCTTTGATTCACATGTGCCCTACTTCTGTTCCAATTAGCAATAATATCTCAGTTTCATTTTTTTATCCACCCTGTATATTATTTGCTCTCCGTACACAAAGATTTATGCTCACAAATCGTATTGTATTTGAAAACTTCATATTCACTCTGTGCACAAATACCCCCTCAACGGTCACAAGGGGAGAGTCGGGGAGACTGAGTATGTGACTTTGCATTTAATTTTGTAAACATGTTGCAAATATCTTAAATAAGGGAGTAAATGTGTGTTCGGGAGGTATTATAACACTCTGTTTAAGACTGGTGGGAGTCTGGATGGGTAATTATCATCCATCCAGACTCCCATCGGTCTTAAACAGAGTGTTCAATACCGACCGAACACATATTTATTCCCATTCATAAATACCTTTTTGGTAAAAAAAACCCAATTTTTTTCGGACCAATAATCAAAACAAGTCGAAAACTATACGTTGCCGACCATTTTGTTCAACAATTTTACTTCATGTTTTACGAAACACCCCTCTGACTATAATATGGAATGCCCCTCCACAACTCGTTACCTTATAAAGACTTTGGCATGCGCGTCGCGCGTACTGCGCGATGTTGTGCAAAACGCAGCTGGGCTGGTGTAGTGTGAATTTCGGACCATGAAATACTGATTCACTGGTAGTATTGCGCATGCATACGTGAGGAAGGTAAACGTTCAACCAATGAAACGTTAAAAGGCACCGGATTTCATGGGAGTCCAAATTTCATGTGACACTGGAAAAGTGTTTAAGACCAGCTAGCCATGTCTTTATCATCCGTTTAAGACTGGCCACGTGACGGACTCTCAACCAATAGGAATGCATAAACTGTCTTAGGTATTTATGAATACCGTTTAAACGTTGACATGAGAAATCAACAATGATTGACATAACAAATAGCAGGCTGTCACTGAAAAAGTAAATGTAACTACGTGTACCCCAAATGTAATCAAAGCACTGTGTGCTTCTAAGGTTTTGTAAATTAAATAGGTTTGAAAACATTGTTAATTATTTGTGCTATGTACGTTATTAACCTTTTTTCATAATTGCACGGTTTTGCATCCTAAAAACCTATAAATGCCTTTATTGGAAAACCTTTCAAAACCTTAATTTTGATTTTGGAAGCCCCTTAAAAAAAAAAAACCTATATGAAGAGGGGCACTGTGAGGCCTGGGTTGATATCATTGAAATTTCACAGCAGCGTAATAGACAGCAGTGAAAAGCATTGGTGTGTACTGTAAACACATTGTGTTTTATTTTCCTTACACAGGTGCGCACTACAGTCAGTGATTTTTCAGTATTCTTGGCTGTTGTGGTAATGATAGGTGTGGATATTCTGTTTGGCGTGAACACACCAAAGCTTGAGGTCCCAAGCACCTTCCAGGTAGGAGATTCTCTACAAAGGTTCTTCCAACATTAGTAGTCAATAGTATACAAATATTGAGTGGCTCAGCGTGGAATGGGAGGAATATTATCGCAAGGTAAAATTTGGACTTTTCCATTTCACGAGGCGAAGCCGAGTGAACTGAAAAAGTCCAGATTGTAGCGAGCGATAATATTCCTCCCATTACACAATTTAAAGCCACTCAATATTTGTTTTATATAACTGACATAAAGATCCTTGTCATTTGATATATTTGAACTTTTTTTCAATACAAAACTGGAGGAAAATGTATTTCTCTCTTTCAAACCACCCTTTCACGAAAATGTTTGAACCCAACGCTGTAGCGCTGGCTCTTTGGAACAATACATGCTACACGCAACGCTGAACGCGCACACCAGTATGCATTTGCACACAAACACCGCGTCATGATCCTAACTGTTCAATAGTATTTCCCATTCCCCATGGGCGGATAGTACTTTTTGAGCTGTGGCATGAATGGGAGCAATAACGAATGCCACGTGATGTGAGTTCCACCAATCAAATGACAAGGATCTGTATGTCAGTTATATAATAGAGTTTGTTGTTTGTGCAAATTCAGTTTAAAATTGGTCCCAGGTACTAATAATGTGGTGCATGTTTAGCGCTTTATACCAAAGACTCAAAAGTGATTTACAGTTACTACCCTTAAGACAAGATAAGTTTGTGGTAGCACCGTGTGAATAAATCTCTTTTGTGAGTATGTGTGGTTCTGAAAAGAATCGGAGGGACTCAACGTTTCGAACAGTATTGGAAGCCCCAAGTCCGGGCCAGAGGTTCATTACCATATCTCTTCAATTCCCCAATTTTATGGCTCTCAAAACTTCTAATATAGAATATTTTGAGGGTTATAACTTTTATTCATGAGCTCGGCAGACGGATTTTTGGCCTATTTACAGGCGTGCACCCTATAGTATCTTGATGAAGTAGTCCAGGTCAAAGGTCATTCGGGACAAACTGGCTGACACCAAGCGTCTTGCAACTGCGATGTTACACAAAGGTCTATTTGCTAGTAATTAACGCGCGAGCACTGTGCGACCATCTTCCTGCGCGTTCGTGCGCCTTCGATGAGCATCCAGTTATCCCGAATGACCTGCGACCCATATCATTGTGCGCATGCACAGTTGAAATACTGAACTGGCTTTTATTGAATAGAATTTTGTTATACTTCTCTCGTATGCCATTAAACAGTGAAAAACTTTGCATAGAATCTGGTAAAGCTTGGGATGTCCTCTTTTCCTGACTGCTCAGTTGCATACCTACTAGTGCCGGAGTGTCATAGTGCATAAACTTATTTAAGATGACTTGTTCATTTCAACAGCCCACATCCGAGAAGCGGGATGGCTGGCTTGTACCGCCGTTTGGTAGGAATCCATGGTGGACGGCCCTAGCTGCGTTTCTGCCGGCTTTACTGGCACTCATCCTGATCTTCATGGATCAACAGATCACAGCAGTTATCGTCAACAGAAAAGAGAACAAACTCAAGGTAAAAGACTGGTCTAGAAGTTCAGGTTAAAAATTAACTACACACTGGGCAAGTAGCTGAAATGTTTGACTACACCAGAAGTATTTTCACAAGGTCAATGTCTGAATGTCATTTGTCATTTTTGTTAATGTCATTTAGGTGGGTTTTTTTAAATTACAAGTGCCATTCAAGTAGAAGTTACTCTCCACTAACTTTTTGCAGTCTTCTGAAAATGTTGCGCAACATAATGTTTGATTACAGCCCTTTTCATGTCTAATCAATTGTTCTTTTTTTTTGTGCTGGGTCAAGAGGGCCAGCCACGACCCCTTGGTTCATGTATCTCAATGTCTGACGCACTTAAAGCTACAGTCCATCATTTGCAGCTATCCAAAAAGTAACTGACGTAATTATTGTTGAAAAACATACTTGGTTGAAAGATAGTAAGGGGACTAAACTACCTGTGAAGTTATTCTTTCTGGCAAGCTGTCATTTTGAAGAAATCAACGAAAGAGGGCCCTTTTCCAAGATGCACCGTTGGAAATTTCCGTGGGCGCAAGCGTTGACACGACGCACACGCGCGGTTGCTATAATTTGTCGGATCAGTGCGCGACATCGCGTAGCCGCAATCATCTCAGTGAGATTGCGTCTCGGACGCTGAATTCAGGCCAAATTCAAAACAGATTCAGCAACTTTTGATTTGAAATCGAGATTGTAGAATGCTGTTTTTCTCGAAATATACAGCTGAAGCTGAGCTGAAACTTCATCAGGTTAGTTGTTCAGCACCCTTCTTTAAATTTTGAGCACGTTTGTTGCTTCAAACGAACAAATTAAAAAATTTCAAATGATGGACTATACCTCTAAGCCTGTTCTAGACGCCGAGCTACTGCAGTGCCGAACTCAATTAATTAGACTTTTTGAATTCAGCACGATGATGGCATGGCGATAGCACGGCGTTTAAAAGCATTTGGCTTGGCCAATTGAGTTTGTCATGGCACTATCCTTTAGGGTGACAGGGCTGCCGCGCTATCATTGTTCCGAATGGCAGTGGCAGGACACTGTTGTAAATGCCATACCATTGCAGTGCCATACTCAATTCGATTTGAAATAGGGGCAAACATTTTAGGAATGCGCAGGCTCACAAAACCCTCTCTTGCGTCCGCTTCACGGGGAGTGAAATGGTCGCAAATAGTTTGATCACACTGTAAGTTCATTGAACTGCTTTAACATGGCCAGTTACATCAGATGCATTAAGGTTCTAGCACGGCGTTTAGAACGGGCCTTACTGGCTGTTGCTTGTGAGCTAGAATGTATAGGATTACCCCATAACGCCAATAAATAAGGCAGAATGCGGCCATTGTGTACACCGGATGCATGAAAAGACTTCCAGTGAATAACCACTCTGAATCAACTGAATAGAGTTGTGCACTCTGGTCCAGCGTTACTAGGTTTGCTTGTCTTGTGTTTGTCCCAACAGAAAGGAGTGGGCTTCCATCTGGACCTGCTAGTCGTGGGCTTGTTGCTGGGTCTGTGCACCATTCTGGGCTTGCCCTGGTTCGTAGCGGCTACCGTCCTGTCCATCAACCACGTCAGCAGTCTCAAGGTGGAGTCGGAATGCAAGGCTCCGGGGGAACGACCCAAGCTGATTGGCTGTCGGTAGGTAACCACTGGGATCCATGGTAACAGAAAGTTATTTGGGTTGCGTCTAAATTTAACTATGGAATAGTTTATTATCTGGAACCTCTAGCAAAGTATGTTTGAAAGATTAGCTGTGGTAAAGATTGAACTGGTGTGTTTTAAGGCCCAGTCACACTGTCTGCAATCGCATATGTGCTCTCACTGCGTCCTTGAAAAATGGCTGGGGCGCAACAACAACTACTAGATCACAGCGACAACTACATAGGTCACCTGATGGGCGCCAGAGGGTCTTTATGGTCTCTGATGAGTACCAAAGTTTTTGAACATGCTCAAAACAATCGCAACACCTCTGCGCTCTTGCAGGGCGCCGTAATGATGCAACTCGGGTGCTCTGCGAGCGTAAATCGTGCGCCATTGACGTGGCTTTGACGCAGCCTAGTCGCAAGGCAGTCGATGCAGTCTTCATGAGAAAGTAACTCGGTTGCGATGAAGTTGTCGAATAAATTTGAAACTGGACTGCGGATTGACCTTTTTGTTGTGGTATTTATAAGAGCGCAAGTGACGTCACGTGAGCGTATTTTGGTCAAAATTGTCATTTTCTTGCGTCCTCGCTGCGGTTGTTAAATTTATTACATATTTTTGGTCGCCTTAAGGTCTCCTATGAGAGCGCATATAGTGTGACAGGCCCTTTAAAGAGAAAAGCTACCGTAGTGTGTCTTGCATTTTGTGATATAAAATATAACAATAATTATTGGGAATTTTAGTTCTCCCGTTGTGGTTTAATTTGTGATTTATTATAAAAAGCGATGCATTCCTTACGAGTGATACCTGATTGTCATTTTCCAACGTTTGTAGTATTACCCAATATAATACTGTTAGCATTGTGTTTTGGTTGTGATCCCTTGCAATATGCCACATTAGTTGTGATCCCTTGCAATATGCCACATAGAGGTTGGAGGCTTCATACTCGGGATACCAAAATAGCACGAAAATGGCACTAGAAAGCTCTGTAGAACGCCAGTGCACTGTTCTGAAGGTCTCAGGTTCAAAACCCACTCAAAGTATTATCGGATCTGCTACATATCACACTTAAAGGGAATGTACATCATTTGCTTTTGCTGCAATTTTCAGAAATAAATGGATTTGGAGGATTAGTATGTTATAGCAAATATTGTTAAACTGACTTGTTTCACGTTTTGGGCTTGTAGATGCTGGAAAAACCAAGAAAACCAATCATGTTCTTGTAGTCTGGTTCCCTGACCCCACTTTTAAGATTTAACGGAGAAATGTAAAGACTTTGGGGAATTGTAAGGTCAAAAAATCACTCTAGCAGGCTTGTACCCCTTCACAGGTGTATAATCAATTGCAAAGAAAGTGCGGAATAACAAAGTGAAAAGTTAGGAGCAGTTTCAAAAAAAAGGCCATTTTTTTTCCAATGCCGGTCGGCCGACCAGCGTTGGAAAAATACAGTTTTTCTTGAAAATGTCAGCACACCAGGAGCCACGATTTTACAGGATGCTTTAGACTGTCAATCCCTAACAATTTAGTAAGGTATTTCGTGATTATTTGATCATTTCGTTTTTTGATGTTTGCAAATGTTGTATCTTCCCTTTAAAACTATCATTTCTTATTTTGACAGAGAGCAGCGAGTGACAGCATTGGTTGTATTCATCCTAATCGGTTTGGCCACACTCATGACGTCTGTTCTTTCGGTCAGTATTCACTTTCTGACATAACCATGTATTCATAAAGGTCCACTTTCTAAATTGGAAAAACATATTGTTTTGTTTGGAGTGATTACTTGCCATATTTTGAAGGCCGGTGTCATAGGAAACCTAAATGTATATAATGTCTTCAAACCCTGTTTGTTCACATCTTGCAACCAGTTGTCAGCTGAAATATAGCAAAAGTACAGTCTGCCGTCACCAGGCTTCTTTTGACAAAGTGTCTAGTTTCTCTCATATTTAAGCTCGTTATAGTCACGTGGTATTCATTACAAATCGCTATAAATCTAGGTTTATATCTGAAGTATGGGGTTTCATATGTGCCATCCGCGTTGCATTTTTCGACGTCGTATTTTTCAGCTCTGGCAGGGATCATTTTGATACATTTCTTGCAAGATTTTCATGCACGACGGCCAGAGCTTATTGTGCACTCGCACTTGTTTGCTCTCTCCTAGCTTATTCCAATGCCAGTGCTGTATGGTGTGTTCCTCTTCATGGGTATCTCCTCATTGGCGAATGTACAGGTAGGAATCCGTATGTTATCGTCTTTTATTTCAAACTTGCTAAAACCAATGTTCTAAGAATGTTACCTTTTATCCGATAACCAGTATTTTCTTAGTCAGAATCCAATATACATGATGGAGCCCTCTAAATCCACTTTAATTGGGACTCTCGTACATGTACATGGACCTTAATAGACCTATTATTTGCATAGTTCTCTAGCTGGACCTGTTTGTTCTTTTCTCCCAAAATTGATAATTCCTTCCATTCTAGTTTGTTTTGTACTGTGTTGTTTGATGTCTTGTTAGATTCAGTTCTTACATTCTATGTATGTTGTTTTTCTTTGCTTGATAAAAAAAAAACGTTGTATTGTATTTGTGGAAGTTCTGTGCATTATTTTGTGCAGGTTTGCGTTTCCTTATTACCCTTATCCAACTGAATCCGACGAAATTCAACAAAATTCAAAGGCAAAATTTTCTACGATGCATTTTGTTGATCAGAGCCATGTTGTAGTCTAGTCCATAACCAGTCCACACAAGTCCCTGCAAGTCCATCACAAGTCCTTCAGTCTCAAGTCAAGTCACTAGCTTTTCAAATGAACTGTACAGAAAAGCATTCCTTTGTCATTGTTTGTCCCTACTTAAGGAGTAGCATCTCCAACTATCTTCAGTCTCCTGACGATGACTAGAGCAGGCTAGTCGAAACGTTGAGACCAAAGACAAGTTCTTTTAGAACTTACAGCAGGACTGTTCTAAACAGAACTGTTCTAAACAGAACAAAAACTACTTAGCAAGTTGATAATAAGCAGGACAAGTTCTTCTCAGAACTAATATCTTCTAAGCAGTAGTTATTACCACATGGTGTTACCGCAAAACCGAAACAATACCGATACCCCACCATGCAAAGCCTCAAATCTTATATTGTTTGTCCCGTTACTTATGACTGGACTTATGAAAGGACTTGCAAAAGAAGTTGAGATGGGCTGAACTAAGAAAGACTGTAGAATCCAGACGCCACTTCTTTGGTTGTTTACAAAGTCTATAGAGAGTTGAGTGCATTCTGAAAGTATTTTTTAACAAAATTGGAAATGTTTCTCAGTCCCAGATTTATGTCTTCTCAACATTTTTGCAATGACTGACCTTCATTGGGATAATTTATGTTGGAAAAAGTGGTGTCAGGATGCAACATTCCATCCGTCTCTTAAAAAGGTGTCAAATGTGTCATTATTTAAACGCAAATACAAAACCCAATTAATTAACAAATATGTGGTAGAATAATCCCATTTTGTAAGACCAAATAACTCTAGTTCTATTTCGTATTACTAGCTCTGTACCAATATGTTTTTGTCATTTAACTCCTATCGTTGTACTTGTACTTGTAATTGTAATTAATTGTAACTGTAATTGTAATTGTAAATGTAATTGTAATTGTTCTTAATTACAGTGGGGGTCTCCACTCGACAAGCTTATGCTTTTTGGAGACCTCCATCCAGCCATATACAATAATTCAAATGTTAAGTAATATTATTATGTACTTGTATGCGTTGGGAAAATTTAAGATTTGATTGATTGATTGAACATTCTTTCCCTTGACCACAACACTGATCGGAGCATTTAACAAACACATTAGTTGTTGCTGTTGGATCCCGTTGAATTCATCAGGCTCCTTACTCAAGTAGCTGTTAGATTTTGTTGGAAACAACTGACAAAATACTTGGAGCTAGATGAGGGTTACTTTGCATGTGATATCAACACTTATGCATTTGGTTTCGTTTCCAAATGATTTTTTTTCAATGATGACTGCAGTTTGTGGATCGTCTGAAGCTGTTTTTGATGCCGCCAAAGCATCAACCAGATTACATCTACCTGCGTAACGTGGGACTCCGCCGGGTCCATTTGTTTACGTTCATCCAGCTGTCTTGTCTAGTCATTCTATGGGTCATCAAATCAACGGATGCAGCTCTTGTGTTTCCTATCATGGTAAGTCAGAGTTGCAGTACTCATGAGAATGTACTTATGCTCATAATTATACTAATGAGATTATACTTATACTCATACTGAAGCTCATACTCATTAGAATGTACCCATTCTTGTACTCAGGTGAATGTACTCGTACTCTACTTGTACTCAAGAGAATATACTCGTAGTTTTACTCACGAGAATGTACTTATACTCTTGAGAATGTACATGTACGTGTACTTGTACTCTACTTGTACTCAAGAGAGTGTACTTGTACTCTTATTGTACTCATTAGAATGTACTCATACTCATGAGAATGTACTCATACTAGTTCTCATTAGAATGTACTTGTACTCTTCTTGTTCTCATGAGAATGTACTGATACTCATACTCATACTCGTGAGAATGTACTCATATTTATACCCATACTCGTGAAAATGTACTCATATTTGTACTCATACTCATAAGAATGTTCTTGTACTCGTACTCGTGAGAATGTGCTTGTACTCAAATTCATGAGAATGTTCTCATGCTTGTTCTCATGAAAATGTACTCATACTCGTACTCATACTCATGAGAGTGTACTCATAATCATGAGAGTGTACTCATACTCATGAGAGTGTACTCATACTTTTACTCATAAGAATGTACTCATATTCGTACTCGTAATCATGAGAATGTATTTGTACTCATACTCTTGAGAATGTACTCATGCTCATGAGAATGTACTCATACTCAGGCATGGGATTTCTTAAACTTTTGTCTGAATTTACACTTCTTGAATCCGAGAGAAAGTCATATTTATAGTATAGAAAGATATACATCTTTCAGACCTTTCATCCAATTTTCAGGGTGTTTTTTTTAAGTGACAATCTCATACCTGCTCATACTCCTGAGAATGTACTTGCACTCTTACTTGTGAGAATACTCTTACTCATGAGAATGTACTCATATTCGTACTCATACTCATGAGAATGTACATTGTGCTCGTACTCATGAGAATGTACTCATGACAATGTTCTCGTGCTTCTACTCAAGTGAATGTACTCCTACTTGTACTTGCAAAAAAAAAACTACCTGTACTTTTGCTTGTCACAGAACTTGGATTTGAGAAGGAATATTTTTCTTGAAACAACAGTAGTTACACATTTTGAAACTAATTGATTGTCAGGTATTGGCTGTGGCGGTTATTCGGAAGCTGATTGAGAAAGTCTTCAGCCAGCGGGAGCTGGAGAATTTGGACGACGTGATGCCAGAAATTGTCAAGCGGGCCAAGCATGACCAGAAGAAGGCTGCAGAAGAAGAGGCTAAAACCACCAAGTGTGAGGTCGGTCCTATCAATAAACCATTGGCACTTGTACCACTTGTATTACATGGTATTTATCCACTGATGAATCCATACAACTGTTTAAGGGGTATAATATTTGTAATATTTTTTATACTATGCCACATTTATATTTCAAATAATGGTATATTTTCCTCTTGTACTGATTTCCACATGACTTTACAGAGAAGTGTTTCAACTATTTGTCATGTACCGTTGTCTGTCTATCACTAGATGCTTATGCATGGAGTATACCAGGTGAAGCAGTCAATATTTTAAATTATAACACCCCTCTTGCTTGTTCTTTATCCTGGTTGGCTGAAACGCGATCGCGTGTGATTCACTATTACTATACCTCATGAATATATTCATCAGGCAACCGGAGCATTTCATTGGTCCATTCCAGCAACTCAACCGTGTGAAAGTTTTTACTATCACCCCGCGTCTCCGCACGCGCGCGTGACACGCAGACACCAGGGAGGTACTTTCACACGTTATTGTTGCAACCTGAGATGTTCCTTTAATTGTTGAATTGCTTACAGTTGAAATTCTTATGAGTTAATCGTTGAATTAAAACAGTTTAATAATAAAAACCTGAAAGATTTCCTTTTTTTTTTTTTTTTGTGGACAGAGCTGAGTTATAAAACACATGGACTGGCAAAATTTGGTCCCTAGCGCACGTCTATTCCCCCCTCGTGCCTGTGAGTGACCAGAAGAGGGTTCTATTTCCCTCCCTCTTCTGGTCACCCACAGTCCCTCAGGAGGCAAATAGACGTGCGCTAGTGACCTCATTGCCAGTCTATATGTGTATGCTATACCACTGAGAAGCAGTCAATATTTTTGATACTATACCACTGAAAGAAGTCAATATTGGTGTACTATTTCCTCCAAGGTATTTTTTTATGTATCAATTAAGTTCTTCTTTTGCAGGATGCCATTGTTGGAGGGCGTGTCCAGCTTCCGCTCGCAGGAGGCAATGTCCTGACGATACCGGTGGACAAGGTCAACTTTAATCGTGAAGCGGGAACTCTTAACATCTCGGAAGAGATGGCCAAGACTGGCATCTGGAAGGCACTAGCATGCAACACCAGGGACAACGCAGCCGCAGCGGCAGCGCACAGAAATCATAGTGGGAGGGATGAAACGGATGCGTGAGTATTCATGGCTGTGCAGAATATTTTGAATATTTGCATAATCAATGAAGCATTGAATATTTGAATACTTTATGATTAACATGAGGTGCAGTTGTATTTCTCATCTTTCAGCATATTGGGTTTCTTTTTGTGTCTGAATTTGTGGAGAACTTCATTAAAATTTCTTGGTTTGAGAGTAGGGGCACCACAAGCAGTGACTCTGACAAAATATACAAATAATAATTACTGAGAATGGTACCTTTTGGAGACATTGCCGTAGACTTGTGCAAAAATGTTCAAACTGTCATGACCCCTAACCATGTGCGTCTCCAGGATTTTTTTTGGGGGGGGGGCAAAGAACATTTTTTCCCCAAAAATTCTTGTACTTTCTCTGGCATTTTCTCAATTTATCATTTTTTCGAGGGTAGGCAAGGGGACATTTGCCAACCCCACCCCCATTGACACCCCTGCAGACACCAATTTTGTTAAATGTGTATTACAATAATAGCAAGTATGACTGCACACCTCTTTTGGGGTTTTTTTGGTGGCTATTCCGGGGGGTGGGGGGGGTGGGCAAGTGCCCCCCCCCCTCCCTCGCGACGCCAATGCTCCTAGCCCCCATGTTACCTTGTCCTACCCCCACAAATTTTGGTACATTTATGTTTTGGACCCACAAGCAATCGATCAAGGCTATTGCCGACGGTGAAATTTTGCCTGTAAGTAGGAGTTGTGACATTAGGGAGACATCCTTGTCTCCCCAAGGTTTGACGAAAAAATGTTTCCTTATTAAAGGGAATATTAACAGGAAGTTACACATGTATTTTATTATTATGATTAAAATATATACATGTACACTTTGTACAGTGTGCCTGTTTGTTTTAATTTACCGGTAGTATTCATGTTGTTTCTCACAATTTGTCTCCATATTGTTTTGTCAAACTAACTTAGTCATGTGCGTGTAAGGTTTCATCAAACTTGTTTACTTTTGTTCAGTTCTGTTACATAACTGTTCCCTGTACTAGACATTAATTGAAGATAAGAAGAAGGATTACCAATGGACCAGCAGAGCAACATGTGATGCAGTGAATTGCTATCATTGTAACAAATTTTCGTGACTGTAGATGTTTCTTTGCTATTTCATAACTGTTCTCTACTATATTTTCCCCCACAGAACACTACATATACATGTACATCCATCATTAAAGTGCACATTTTCCCCGCTAATTATTCCCCCAACAGACAGAAACGGATGCACAATATGCCACTCAAGCAGGAGAAATTCAGCCCGGACATAGAGAAACTACCGACCATCGACGATGAGGAGGGAGCCTCGATACCCTACCGTCAGCCCACGGGCAGCATCTCCGGCGAGATCACCTTCAACGTGCCCAAGTTTACCCTGGGCGGCGACAGCGAAACTTCCGTCTGATCCTACCCCAAGCTTTCCCTCCGTATTGTGTTTCCTCAGCTCAGGAGTTACCTCAGTAATTATCCGGGATAAGTCGCCCAATAATGTATCCCAAATAGGCTCTTTGTATCAAGTATTGGTCGCAGGATTCTGACTAACTTTCCCCGAATCATTCCACTATGAGTTATCATCGCTGATGAACGACACGTATTTCTGCTAACTTCATTACATGAAAAACTCTAGTGAAGTTGTTCAAAATCCCTCAAGTAGTACATGATTCAATGGGAATATTGCTGATAAATCTTTCCTCACCACATTGCGGATATTTAATGGGAGGAGTCTTGAGAAACCCATCGCTGCGCTCAATATAACTCTTGACTTGTGATCCTTAGTAGATATCATAACAGACTAAGGTCATGTAAGACGTATTTTAACTTGATAACCTTGATACACCAAACAAAATTAGTCTTTTTCCCAAAAACTTGAATTGAGGGAATTCGTAGAGTTTAACCCTTTTTCCATAGTCAGACGTATTTATATAAATTGATCACGCCCTTTGTGTTGTTCATGATGTACGGATACCGGTATGTCTGTCATGGAATGTCATTCTTAAATTGTTTGTACACACCCTACTTCAGTAATTCCACAATATTTTTTTTTTAACTCTTGAACGGAGACCCAAATGGTGTACTTCTTAAGACTGGATTCGGTTTGCATCATTTGCCATTAGTCAGTGGTTTATTTGTAAGTGCTAACCCACACTTTGAAAAGACGCCTTTGTGAAATGGGGTCATTTGAGTTTAAATGTATTGAAGGATAAAAGTTCTGTAGGATCGGGAAGTAAAAATAAATTGATACAATGCAATAAACTCACAAAGGTTTTTAAAACCCAAGGCTTGTCCCAAGTTGTTGGATAAATGCCTCTGGATTGGTGGCATGGTACAAATGTAATAGCCGCTCTTGTTTTCTAGTTGTTATAAGTTGAACAAAGAAATTGACTGGTGTGGGATAAGAACCTGCAACCTCCGGAATACTGTACCGGTGCTCTACCAACTGAGCTATCCAGCCCTACCGGTATGTTGGCGGTTCCCCCATTTTGTCTATGTCTTTGTTCAAGGGTACTAGCCAAAAGCCCCCCCCCCCCCCAAAAAAAACCCTAGTTTTTAGAAACTAGTCACTTTCCCCTTTGTGGTTTATTCGGGTGCCATATTAATTTTTTTTCACAATGCAATTTTCAAATGGCATTCTTAGCCCCTTTTCTGTGTACATAATGGCGAACGATGTCTATTTCTTCTACCATATACCTTTTGTAAACACCTAAACAAAATCGTAAACACCCAGCAAAAATGATCTATCAAAAAGTACGTGTAACCTAAATATAAGGCTTGCAGTTGTATGATAATGCTGTTTGTTATTTGTACCAAATATGAGGGGGACTCTTAATACAGAGTGAGATTGATCAATACTACTTCTATGAATTATGCAAGTATGAAAGGTGAATTTGTTAGAAGGAAGAAAAGTCATTTTTGAAATTTTTGTTGTGTGACTTGGTCTTGGCTTGTAAACTGCAGTTCAGTCATTCTGTGAAAGACAAAGATATTGCAAAATGAGGAAAAGCATTTGTTCAACTGAGTAGAAAATGTTCAATCCCAAAAATACCTAAGATTATAGAGTACATGTAATTAGTAAGCCAAATATTAACATTTGTGTGATAAGATGAAAATCATGTTTTGGGAGGGTTTTTTTCAATTAGTGCATGATTGGACCCTTTTTTATGGCCAGAATGAGTGAGGGTTTGTTTTGTGTTTGTTTTAAGTTTCAAATTTATAGTTTTATTTCGTTTTTGTTTGTTTGTATGTTTACTGTTTTGCATAAAAACAGTACTGTACAGTTGTTTTGTGCGAGATTTTATTCCATTTTACTGTTTAAGTTTTTGTTGTTTTATTTTAACTTCCTTTTGAGGTGCATAACGATAGATGTTCAGCTTTTTAAACCCAAGAAACCTGCACTAGAAGATACACAGCACATCCTTTAAATAAAAAAGTTTTAAATTACATAATTAAAAGTACTGATAAAATAATGAATTAAATTTGTGGCATACCTAATGCAGGCACGTGTGAAGTAAGTTGTGTGAGTTTATACTAATATGCAGTACTATAGCACTATCTTCCAAAATTCTGCTTGATTGAGTGAACGACCAAAAGAAACCATCGGTTTGTGTAAAAAAAAAAGAAGTATAGATGATCGATGTATCATTTGTGTGGTTTAAGTATCAACTTTCTTATAAAATTGCCTTGTTCCATTAGTCAGTGTATTGCCCCCAAACCATCCTGCCTATTACTCCCTGTAGTGCCTGAAAACCACCCAACCACTATCAGTGAAAATAAACACAATGTAATACAATGTAGTTCAGTTGCTAATGGGTAAAAGTGTTTAAAAACCAAATGAAAGGATGGAGTTGGCAGTTTGCCAGAAACCCCATTAAAGTAGGTGCTTGCAAATCACATTTGAAATTACAAATGTATGATAGTAAGCAAAAGTGTCTCCTGTGATATAAATTAATTTTGATTTAAGATTGTTTTCTTTATTATGTAAGATTCAGATAAAATGTAGAATGTTTTTTAAGTTGAGGTCAGCAATAAGTGGACGTTTTCAGTGACGCCGTGTAGCAATACATTTCATGAGTGATGTGTGGTTCTTGAGAATAATCTGTGTGACTGGTCTTTTTTCGCAGAACCACACATAACTGCATACAAAATTTATCGCTATGAACTGTCTGAAACACTTATAGTCTGAAAGATGAACAATGGAGTTTGCATTAAGACACAGGTTACTATTTCAGACATTAAAAATCTGAAAAAGTGATATATTGTCTTAAAATGTAAAACTCCATTGTTCATGTTCAGACATTAATACGTCGAAGATTTGTCGTCTCAGTATTTCGTTCTATAATTAAGTTAACACCTATACCTTCTTTTTTTTGAAAATTAATTTAAAGTATCGATGTGTTCCATTACTATTTGTGCTTCAAACTTCCACAAGCCAGTTTTAAGGTACAACAAAACAAATAATTTTGCTCTTCAAAAACAACATACTGTGTTACCTTGGCTAGACTTCTCTAAGTCTTGCATTGTTCATTGGCATTAGCATGTGAGTCATAAGGTCTCATTCTTGAACGACGGAGGGTATTGTAACAACACTAATTGGGGGTATGAAAAGACATTAACCCTGCTGTTGTTTGAACAGTCACAGACAGTCAAAAAAAAATCGATACCCGCCATGCGTTTTACACAGGCTAGCCAATAACAGTCAGATCTTATTCCAAGCACGCGCTCTGACTAGTCAAATTCAGTCAACAGACAAAAGCAGGCAAGTGGTAGGCACAGCTGGCTTATCAATCACCTGCAGTCAAAGCATAGCTGTATCAAGTTACATAAACAGCCACAGCCAGTCAATCATGCTTTTGTAGGCTGGGAGCTCTTAACTGTTGAAAACAGTCACTTGATTTATTTGACTGAAAGGACAACTTGGCACAGAATGTATGTTTGCAAAGGAGGGTTAATCAAAGGTTAACGTTAGTTTACATATTACCTTAGTTCAAAAGTTACTTTTTACCATCTATTTTATAGACGTAAGTAAACTTACTAGACTGCTTTAAACACTTGGCATTTTTCTTATGTTTGTTCCCAGAAAATGTCTCTTTACAGCCCCCCATTCACTCCAAAATGTGGCATATTGCCATACGTACATATATGATGCCCTGCCATTAGAGAAGGTCCGTGTTCTCTCAAACATTTATGCACAACTTTTATAAATATGTGTATTTGTCTGTAATTTGTTTTGGTTTAAACCCATGTCATGTTCTTAAAAAGTGAAGTACCGGTAATGGTTGTACCATATAGTATTCCCATACATGATTCAGGGATGTCGGGTTTCAGGCTGCAGCCTGAATTTAGGCTTTTTCATAGTTGAGAAAAACAAACTCAGGCATTCTATCCCTTCACAGGCCGGAAAAATCAATCGCCTGCAGTCAACGCACGGCTGTATCAAGTTACATAAACAGTTACAGCCAGTCAATCATGCTTTATGTAGGCTGGGAGCTCTTAACTGTTGAAAACAGTCACTTGATTTATTTGACTGAAAGGACAACTTGGCACAGAATGTATGTTTGCAAAGGAGAAAAAATCAATCCTTGTGAAATATAAATCCTCTCCAGAGAGAAAAATTGTGCATGCAATGCTCAATGGCAATCGCTGTGCCAGCTCGATGCACAAATATGTAAGTTCAAAGTAGACATGTATGAAAGTGTGTGATATTGCAATGTGTTTATGGTGAACTAGTGAAGGTTTGCGGTGGCACCATACGGAAAATGTCTTTCGAGGAGAAGTGTGGTTCTGAAAAGAACCGATTAGTTGTGAAAACTGGACAATCCGATCAGTACTCTAATCGTCTTCAGGAGATCGATCAGAGCGTACTGATTGGAACGTCGAGCTTTCACAACCATCCAGTTCTTTTCGGAACCACGGTTCTTTTCAGAACCACACCTCTTCTCAAAAGAGATTTTCCTCATGGTGTCCTCACAAACCCTCACTAGTTTACACTAGCACCATGCAAAGTTTCAAAACTTACTTGTGTTTATGGTGTAATGCAATCGTTTTGTGCATTTGGTCGTCTTTCACATGTCAATTTTTTTCATGCCCAGGAGCAGAAACCCACTGGCATCCCTGATGATTGTGTGTGTTTGGATCTTTAAAACCCTCGAAAGTAAAGGAGATAATGTAAGGAATTAGGATATTTCATCTTCACACCAAGCAGACAATAACTTGTGCACTGAGCTGACGGTGTTGTGTATAGATCTAACATGTTATAATAAAACGTGTTATAATAAAACGTGTAGTACATATCCCCTAAAAAAATGCCCTTAAAGACAAGTTTAATACACTGCGAGTAGTTTTTCCTGATGTGTCACAGTAAACCTTGAATGACTCAAGTTTGTTGAAAGCTTGTGATGACGAGAAAGATGATATTTCAATGAAATTTATTAACACATGTATAAGTTTGTATGCAGGATGTCATGGAATTTAGCTTGTAAACTTTTTCACATTTTCTCACACACGACATTAAGTATAAAGCTAGGTAAATGAAGGGCAAAACTCAATAATTTGATAGGAAAGATGGTTAGACCGAGCAGTCACATTTCCTTTTGTATGACAAATGCAGAAATAACGTTGTTAAATATCCTGTAATAAACTCTCTGTACATTTTCCAGCTGTTACACTGTAGCACTGAATGCCCTTAGCGTCCATGTGAAACCCACTATGTATTAAGACATTAAGTATTAAGACATTCAAACTAACTTCAAAGGTGTGCTTTTGAGCAGATTTGTCTTGAGAACATTAACGTGTGAGTTAGGCAATCTTAGAAATATGAGCTAACAATTTCATGAATTCTACCACCGTTGGTTCAAATGCTTGTAAGTGGCCTGTTGGAAAAAGTCTTGAAGTGTCTAACATCCATCGGATAGAGTAGCTAGAACTGTGCAATCTTTTAAAGAAAGTAAATTTTTTAAAAGACATAAAGTGAGAGTTGGACAGTAAGGAAACGTAAAAACTAAATCAAAAATATTAGAATGAACACTGTTTTGTAATAAATTAAAATAACCGAATGATGAATACGGAAGTATATAAATAAATAACATAATAGAATTAATATCGGATGCGTTATAACACACTGTTGTATTCCTTTGATATGGGTGATGTGCATGGTTATGTAAGCTCAATATTGTAACCAGAAATTTAATAATTTATGATTTCAAATTGCAATTCCAATTCTTGCGTGTCGGTGGGATAATGGGATTGAGTTTCGACTTCTTTTTTTTTTGATCTTACGTTGGTATTCAGTTTGTCCAGGCATATGAAAAATATGAGTTATTCAAAATTAATGTTATACATTAATGTACTAGACAATTTAAGAATTACTTAGGACGACGCATTAATGTGTACATTTTGAAATAATGTGAGCATCTAAC